CGGAATGAGCAAGAGCTTATGTAAACTGCGGCGACGGTTTAAAGAAGCAAGAAGAGTGAGGGCGTTCACAAAGACGCCCAGCAAGACGAAAGTGAGGCTGAGATCAGCCAAGGCAAACGTTTCACAAGAGAAAAAGGCAGAAGCCACGAGGATAGAAAATCCCACGGCAACGACAAAAGCCACGTGGACGAAAGTCCCACGGCAACGTCAAGTCACTACGAGCACCACGATGAATTCAAAAGCCAATGTTTACAGAAAGGACTAAAGACAAAAGTCCGACAAAAGTTTCCAGATTGCCGAAGGGCAAGGATGGACTACGACTACCTCGCGTACAGCGACGTACAGAAAAAGTGAGTGTGCACGTAGAGTGGAGTGAGTCCATGCCAAATGTGTGTGGAAAGCAACTCGCATATCTGCTATAGGACATCAGAAGAGTGAGGATGAAGACCAAAGGAAGAAAACGATAAAGATGTCCCACAAGTGCTTAAAGAAGCGTGCGAGAAGTGAAGATGAAGGCTCACAGGAGCATGCGAAAACAGAAGCAAGAGTAGTACAAAAGTCAGGAAAAAGTTTCACAGAATCACGTGACACGACAATGCTGTGTACGTGATGAGGGCGTAACAGAATGTTCAATTTTCCCTCATGCCCGATTTAGCACCAGTTTCACTGCGTATCTCCGTAGGTCAAACGTAGGCTCAAGACAGCCTGACAGCAGAGCGAGTAGTGAGAAAAGATTCCGAAGCTCGCGCCGTGCTGTGACAAGGATACTGGTTTAAGGGTTTAAACTTTCAGTCTCGCAGCGACCTTTGCGGCGAGTGACATCTGTCCGATGCAATGGCAGGTTGGGGCTCGGATACGACATATATAGATGGGAGAGAGGAGTTGTTGCACTCCACCATCCCTACGTGAATCCGGACATTTTCACACATCCGGCGATCTATCAGGGCCGCTTCCGCATACACATCCCGCTATCGGAAGAGGCCCTGGGTCTACGACCGGCGGCTGAGCTTAGTCTGCAGCCAGCAGGCCTGCTGTCAAGTGCATTGGCCAGAGTCCGACAGTGGACCCAGCAGGATGGCTACGACTTACGCGCAGCTCTGGCGGTTTGGTTGCCTGGACCCAAACGGATCACCATGTATTACCCTGAACGCTTCTTTTTAATGGGGAGTCATACGTGACTGGCCGGCGTGCGGAGATCGTCAGGCGAGATTTCGCTGATGTTCCTATGGGCCTCCGAATGGACTATCCGTCATACACCTTGGGCCAGGATCTCCGCATTGAGGACTGGGTTGCGGCCGCTAGGCAATTCCAGGCCCAGGGAGGACTAGCGGATTACCAGTTTTTGGGCTTCCGGTTAGTGCCCAACTACCATAAGCCCTCACCTGTGTACTATTACACTCGACAGCAACTGAAAAAACGCAAGGATGCGGGCGACTGGGCATTCTTGTATACCCTTAATGACACACATATGGAGGACCCTGTTCACTTTCGCAGGGTTCTCTGGGAGCTGGCCGTGCGGTATTGGGAACGACGCGCTCCGCACGTCCGCCTCTTATAATGGGAGTGATGTGTCAGGAGCGACTGGCACCTGACCTCTTGTTCGGTCGGTGTTAGGTCCGCTGGTTATACCCCCCTGTCCTGGCCATTCGGCTACGGGCGTATGGCGTTTTGCCACTACGGCAGCAAGGTTGTGGGCCGCTGGGATGGTGTCAGCCATAGTGAGCCGTGCGCCACGACGCTAGGCCCGACGTGTCCTTTGCAATAATTGTCGAGCCCGGCAGCCGATGAGCATTTGACTCCGCCTATGTGAGACTCCGGTACGCTTTGGCTGCCGTTTGGTTAGTTGTGAGGATTAGGGACAAGCCATGGCCGCGCTACCAGACCATCTGATGGCACCGATCCTCGCTTACACCTCCCTGCAGCCGATACCGGTTCTCTTTGGGGCACCACCATCGGATACCACCCGCCAGGTGCTTCGTGCCATTGGGTCACAGGAGCGCACGGCCGCCGGCCTTGTGCTCCGTCGTCACTACGCGGAATATCGCCGCCGTGCCGCTGCCTACCTGGCACAGTGCAACCTCTATAGCTTTCGAGTTGCGACCGACTTCCAAGTGGCGGTACGACTTGGCATTCAAGTGCGCACTACCATTGTTCAAGTTGATCTTGAAACTGTGGCGGCGCTGGCATCGGTGTCATGCCTCGCTTACATGTCGGTTATTCGACTCTATGCAGGGGCTGACTTCTTTCGCGCTACGGCCATCCAGTCTGCCCTCATTGAGACGCAGCCCTGGGCTTTCGCTTGCCTTGAGCTGTGGGGGGTGCCGTACTTCTCCATGGAGCCGATGGACGATCTACCGCTCACGAGTCTGCGGCCACCTCTGTCGGCTCTCGAGCCACTCGATATGGGTCTGCTTAGCCCTTGCCCTTGCGAGACCCAACAAGGTGGGAAGCTGGGCAGGGTAAGCCCCCTCTGTCTTAGGGGATCTTTTTCGGTGCTTCTCTATGTTTCTGCCCGAGCCCTTGCGATACCCACTCCTGGGAAGCTGGGCACTTGCAATAGCCAACAAGTGTGTGGCTGGATAACCGATACGGCCAGATTCTGCAGCATTCCTGACGCAGACTAGGCCGGCGCCCGGTCCCGGTCCAAGTGCTTCCGGGTTCGAAATGTCGGCTTTCAGGCGGCAGCCTCCAGGTTCACTTCTGCTACCCGTGTCCACCTGCGACGCACGAGCTTCCTCGGGGCCGCCTTTGTGTGCACGGGCGTGCTCTGTAACCAGACGAAGCTGTTTGCCGAAAGGGCGCTTAGTTGCCAACAAGGGAGTACGCTTCCGGATGCGCGCTGAACCCCCCCCTGCACAATTGGATGTAGGGCGTTCTGCTTGCCAAGGGCTCGCAGCATACCATTTCAGGAGGGTAGGCTGGGTTACAGGCCATGGCCACGCTCCCCGAAATTCATGTGGAACAGATGATTCACTACATCTCTGGGCGCTCGCTGAGTGTGCTATTCGGTGCCCCGCCATCAGAGGCCACCAGGCAGCTGCTATCTACCACCGATCCCCAGGAGAAATGGGCTGCTGGCCGGGCTCTTCGGCAGCAGTGGGCTGCATACCAGGCGCGTGTCTCAGCCTCCTTGGCGCGGCGTGCCTTCCGAGGCGTTTTGGCGTTGCCCAATTTTCAGTTGATTGTGCGGCTTGGGTTTCAGGTGCGCGCTACTATTTGGCAAATCGATTTCGAAGCCTTACTGGAGTTGGCTCCTGTGTCACGGCATATCTGCCAGATTCTCCTCGCATTGTACGAGGGCACCGACTTCTTTCGTGATGTGGCCATACGGTCGGCCTTGGCAGCCATGCAGCCCTGGGCTGAGGGATGGCCTGGTCTGGCCGGACGACTTTACTTCCCCTTGGACATCTTGGGTGAGCTCCCCATTACGCGCCTGCGCTCCCCGTTTGGGGCATTCGCCCTCCCGAGCCAGGCTGCTGCTGGCGATGTTTAATTGTTGCCCTTGCGAGGCCCACAACGGTGGGAAGCTGGGCTTGGGTGCTCTTATGTGGCGATTGCTGGCTTGAACATTGTTCACTGTAGGCCTAGTTGCCGCCGTTGATTTGTGATTGCTTTGCCCTTGCGAGACCCACCATGGGAAGCTGGGCTGCGTGTGCTTGACGACCGGCATGCCGCCAAGCGCATCCCGCCGCCTATATATATACCTGCGCATTGAGCACAGGCTAGTGCGGCTGCCCTTGCGAGGCTTTGTGGGAAGCTGGGCTGAATTAACGGTACTAATGCATTGTCACAGCGGAACATCCCTCGCTCCGGTGTGGATGCTTCGGCGCATCCTTCTTTGTCCAAAGCCATTGTTCTGCTTTCCGCGGCTTTCTATGGGATGCTGGGCTAGTGCACATGGCAAATATGGGCGTGCTCATCTGCCTCCACGGATGCTGGACATTATGAGTGCCATTGCGCGACTCAGAGCGACTGAGAAGCGGGGCATCTGAGCGAGGGTAGTTGCTTGAGGCCGAGCATATCCTGCCGAGCGACGTTTGCCGGCTAAGTCTGCAAGTCGCGGCCTGTCTCACCATCAATGTGTAGTTTTGTTTGCTTGTACAGTTTGTTAATGCCAGCTTTCTTGTAGTTCTTGTAGTTCTTATTGGGACCGAGTGCAGCAACTTGCTGTCTTTGAGGCCCGCCCACGCCAAAAAATTTTTTGTTGGCTCTGCTTTGTTGCTGCAGTCAAGCAGCGTTCAGTGTGAGGGGACGGAGCCTCCATGTGAATGAGGTGCATAGCCATGATAGTTGTTCAAGCGGGCGCACGCACCTGGCTTCCCTTGTGTCAGACAGCTGGAGAGTTGCACGGCTTCGCTGTGCTTTTCGGCATCTCCTCGGGTACGCGCGTGGCCGCTCTTCGGACCAGAACGGGTGCCCCACCTCTTCGGCTGAAGTGGCTTTATCCATTGGCTTGGGTCAAATGATTGAACCTCCCCTGGTCGGCGTCATCTACGAGCTCCACAGCTACAAAGAGGCTTTCTGGACCTCTGCTAGCCTCATGTTGCTCTCCGTCCCTTTTCTCTTTGCGATCCTCTGGCGCATCCGGTCCAAAGCGGACAAGGACCAGGATTCGCCAAAGGACGAGAGTGATGCCTCTTACGAAGACGGCTCTTCGGAAGATAGTTGAGGTGCAAAAGCCCGGGGGGAAAGACCCACATGCGCTTGAGACGAATTGATTTGAATATGGGGGTTTCCCAAAATTAGGGGTTCCTTTGTGGGGGGCCGTACTCGCCTGTTGATTTTTGGCCCGAGCTCGTGGCCAAACATGAGCAGGCACATGTCCATGCATGGTAACCGCAGCAATTCACCTTGGCCCTGACAGCCGCCCACATTTTTGCCACGTCAGAAGAGTTGGTTGTTACACTCAGGATCCTACGTTGTACATGATGGGAACAGTAAGTGCGACGACAGCCGGCGAATCATGCAGAAAGAGTTCATTCCGGCCTGGAGCCCCTAGGATGGTCGGGATAAAATATTTTGATGATGTCGACGTGTTGGATGTGTCGAAACCGTTCCGGCCCGAGTTTGGAGCGGGGGTTGTGGATCTTCCTGGTTGCTATGTGTGTTGTCCCGTGTTGTTTTCAACCTGCATGTTGCCAGGCTTGCACCAGACCCTTCGACAAAGAGCAGCGGGGTGCGTTCCTGGAGAGCAGCGCTGTGTGGCTTTGGCATCATCCTCAGTTTTCGTGAAGCCTTTCACCCTCATGGACACCGTTGCAAAAAGAGCGTTGTCGCTCCTTACAGCCGTGCCATCCTTATGAGATGGTTTATCATGACGGTGCCATCTGCGGATCGATGCTTTGGAGCCTACCGTCCCAGTGCTGGACGTGTTGAATGTATTGTCATCGGAGAGCCCAAATCGAACGGTTCGCGGCCAATGCATACTATCGCAATCAGTCATGTCTGCCGTGGTAGGAGACCATGCGATGTTACATTGTCCATCAAACTACCATAGGCATGATGCTGCCTTCTGTCGCAGAGTGCTTACCTGAACGAACGATTGGCATCCTGAACGACACCAGGGTCCCAGCCTAAAAGCATCGACATGCAGAGGAAAAACATGCTTAAGCCTCACCGTTACTTTGGCCGACCACAAGCAAGCCCGACAGTATTTGTTTATTAAGGCTCGGAAAGGCTCGGGTAGGGTGTAAGCTTTGCTGGGCCAGGGTTTCGTCTAGGTTAGGTTGGGTTGGGTAGGATCAGGTTAGCAGGTTTAGAGCGGGTTGGGTGATAGGTGAGGGTTTAGTGCAGGTCAGGTTGGGTTATACGTTCGGGCTTGGGGTAGAACATAGCCCTCCTCCCATGTTTGAACTCTCAGTGTTGCCACGCCAAAAGCGCAAACGGACGGTTTCCTCATGTGCTTGCAATGGGAACTTGGCACCTCCTTCTTTTTTTGTTAATTTCCCGCTTTTGTTCGCACGAAGAGCAAGAATTTTCAATAGGTTAGCTGAGATTGGATTATGTGAATTGTCCGGTTAGGTTAGGGTTCAGCCGGTGTAGCCTTAGATTTCCTAAGGGATTGGGCTATGTTGGGTTGGGACGTCTGGTTAGTGTACGTTAGTTAGGCTAGGCTTGGTCAGGTACGGATTTAGAATGGTCAGCTTAGATTCGGTTTAGAGACAGGGTTAGTTTAGGGTAGGTGGGTTGGGTTAGGTTGTGTTCGGTTCTGGTTTGGGGGCAGGTCAGCTGGCCCGGGAGTCAGGTTAGCATTGGACTAGGTCAGGATAGAAATGCTAGATAAGAGAGGCTGTCCCAGGTCAGGACAAGTGATGGGTCAGGGTTTTACGTCCGCTGTAGGCCAAGCCAGGGTTAAGAAAGCAGAAGAGAGGGTAGGGGTAGATTCGGTTAGCCTGTTTGGCGGTTAAGGGTGGGTTAGGCTGAGGTTTTGGATTAAGTTGGCTTAGGTTGTCTTCGGTCAGGTTAGGCTAGGTTGTGCTAGGTTAGGCTGCGTAGGAGTTTAGATTAGGCCAGCTTATTTTTCGAATAGATAGGGGTAGGTCAGGGTTTAGGATGGACTAGCTTAGCTCGGTTGAACAGAGGGTTGACCTGGGTTAGCTTAGGCCGAGGGTGAGGTCAGGTTCGGCCATGATGGATTTGTTTGAATTTGGTTACGCTGCATTACATCAAGCTCGGGTCTGGGGAAGGTTAGTGCGGTTTGGGTTTAGGTGAGGTTAGGTTAGGTCCGCAGGTATGTTGGGGTTTAGGGTAAGTAGGGCTGGGGTGCTGGGTTAACACAGAAGAGATTAGGTTCGATGAGGTTGAATTAAGGTAGGTTAGGCATGGTCAGTGTAGGTTAGGGTTTCGATCCCAGCAAAGCCATACCCCGATCGTCAATTCTTCACTTAAAAACCACAGCACATCATGCTGGATCGCGGCATGATCATAATTGGCCAGAGTTTGGATCGCAATAACCTGTGAGGTTCAAAGAGAAAGGCTGCTGCCCAAGTCGCCCGACAGGCGCCCGGGCGATGTAATTCCCATTGTTGGGCGAGCGGTCGGCGCATGCGAGCGTTAAGACAAGGCAAAATGTTTTGTGCAAGTCGCTGTGCTGCCCAATGTCAAAACTCAGACATTCAGTGCGTTAGAAATGCTCTCATTGTGATCGGTGTCCTCAAGTTGCAAAGACGCCTCGTTTTTTTCCACGTGCGACTGTGAATGGCAAGGGCACGCATATTGGTACGTGTATGCCTCGGTGTACATACGTGTACATGCACACATGCATGCTTGTACACGAGCGCACACACACACATGCGTGTGCACACACACACATATTTACATGCATGCATACATGCATACATGTATAATTGCATACGCACATACATACATACATACATGCATATACATACATACATACATACATATATATATATATATATATATATATATATATATATGTACGTATGCATGAAAACAAAAAATTACAGATTCATTGAAAAGAGTTGTATATCTATAACAAAGTATGTATATGTTTATGTATGTGTACATATGTATATATGTATATATATATATATATGTATATATATATATATATATATATATATATATATATATATATATATATATATATATATATATATATATATATATATATATATATATGTATAATGTATGTATAACATATGTGCGCATATGTGAGCAGCTTATTGTTAAGTTAGTATTGCAACGACGTTTATGGTGATTACTTTCATCATCAGGCGTAACTGTTATTCGGTTTCACTAGATATGTGTTTGCAGACAGATGCAGACATGCATGTGTGTGCACATACACAGACATACGCGTATTCAGTGATTGACATGTCGTCGGCTCAGCAGTTCATGAGTTGCTTCATTCGTTCAATCAATCATTCATTCAATCGTTCATCATCATTCATTCAGTCAGTCATTCATTCCTTCCCTCTTCATCATACACACAAACATACATACATCTCTCCTTCCTCACCCCTTCCTTTCTTCATTCATTCATTATTTCTATTATACATACATAATACCTGCATTATCTTCACATGTCTTTGTCTTTGTCTCTCTCGAGGCTGTTTCCAGGCTTGAAGGTGCAGATGCCTCACAAGACCTCAGTTGCGCTATGAGTTCTTGTTGCCGGAATGGCTCTGAAATCGATGTCCAGTGCAACAGTTGCTTGCACAGGAGGTCGTTTCGAGATGAGTTGAAGGTTTCGTGCCAGCGATTCCGCAGGACGCTGTGGCAGTTCACGTTGACGTGGAGAACGAAAATGCGGCAACAGCAAACCACAAGGAGGGCGATGTCGAAGAGGTGCGAGAAGGACTACAATCTACAACTCTCTGTGTGATGTGTGACAGTTGACCTGTGTCGATGTTGATAGCCGTGTTGCTGAGAAGGCCGGCCTGGATGCAGACAGGCACTTAGTGTTGCAGCCCGAGAAGCCGCCGCCTGAGATGGTCACCATGACATTCAGTGTATTTGCTACTACCGGGACTACCGGCCTGTGCAGCTAGGCTGCCCGACCGTCAAGAATTGGATGATTTGAGGGAAACACTCTCTGGGTATGGCTGGCTCGACTTATTCCGGAATTTCTGGAGCGTTGGATGCTCTCGACGATGGTCATTGCTTCAGCCTTTGTCAAACTGTGTGATTATGATGCTCCTGCTGATGTGCCCAGCCAGTTCAGTGAGTGATTCGAGTGGTTAGGCGTTGAGCCAACTTTCGTTACTGTCCGAGCACGGGCTCACAGAAACCCAGTCGCAACATGTTGTTGCAGCAGTCGAATCACGAGTTGCCGATGGAGTCTTGGCCCTTGCCTACAGGTTTTGCCGAGCTTTGAACAGGTTGAGAGATTGGCTTGTGGAATGGTTGCTCAGCGGGCCCCATTAGGTGCTCTGAACGTCAGCAGTATCCAACTCATGTAGAAATAAGATGAGCCGAGTCGACTCACTGCACTGCCGCATGTTAGAGTCTCTCCAGATTGCCAGGTTGCAAAGCCAGCTGCATACTTTGCGGAGGGACAATGGTGCCCTGCGGTCAGCGCTCCTTGGACAAACAGGCGTCGGGACATCGGGTTCAGACACCAACAGAAGGTACGCTTAAGTCTACAAATTCGCCAACGGCAGGTGGCAGTCTCCCGGTTGACGTTCCTCTCTCATCAATTGCGCTGCCCTTGGTGTCTTACCGCGATTCTTTCTAAAGCGTAGGTCATGAAGTGCCTTAGGCTCCCGAGTCCGTTGTTGGCAGCCTTCCAGCCGCGACAAGTTCAACTGCTGATGCTGCTGCGATTCATGTCAGCAGCTTAGACATTGACGAGCGTACTCTTCTCCCGTCTTCTCTCTTCTCGTCGTTGGATGTGTCAGGGTGAAGACGAGCTGGCAGAGGCCGTGAACGCCAACGAAGGAGCTGAGGCAGAGTCAGGCCGAGGCCGGCCGAGCGCATCTCTTCTATGCATCTATGCCCTATGTCGCCTATGTGATATGTTTGAGTCTCAGGACGATGCTGGCAGTCCAGATGGTTCGAGCACTGTTCTTCCTGTTCTTTCGTCACAGCCGAGGTGACTCGATGGCAAGCTTGTGGGGCATTCTAGTACTTAGACGTGCCTCAGGCGGAAAACAGGAAAGCTACGAATGGGAGGCCGTGGGTGTTTGCTGCATGCTATCAGCGATCATGAGTCCGATCCCGTTCCTGCAACATAGGATCAGGTGCTTGTGCTGTTAAAACACAGGCGGGCTTGTATTGGCGATCTCCCGGCCATGCGATCGACTGGCCATTTTGTGTGGGGTGACATGCTTTTCTCTGCTCAGTAGCTAGGGTGTTGTCTGGCAAGTTATTCTGGTTCAAGGATTGCCGGTATCGTGTTGCCAGGTGGCACAGCTCCGTTGATGGACGAGGGACTAAACACTTCAGTCGATGTTGTGGAGAGCTGTGGTAGGCACATTCATCAATTGACTGAAACATGTAGTTCTCTCGTGTTCTCTCGTGTCGTCATCCGCGAATTCACATGTTGTCTTGTGCAGTTGCAATGTTTTCGCTGTAGAATGGATGGCTGCGCAACTCTGTCGTGTTGTGCAGTCCGCCATGCTCACCTATGCAAGCGGATACTTCAACTAGAGCGGGCGGTGCGCTCGGACGATGGACGGATGTCCGAGTGAAGATGTCTCTTCTGACGCATGCACTCAAAAACGATAAGGGAGCTGGATCCCTTCAAATTCGTCTTCGTGCTCTCCTCCAAGGCTGCGGCTCTTCTTGCGTTCCATGTTCTGCAAAGACCATGCAAGGCCTGTCTGGGAAACACCCTTGAATGCGGCACGAGAGCGAGCGTGGCCTTCGCTGCCTGAGCTTGAGAACGCATTGGAACCGTAGCATTGGCAAGTACTTGGTCCCTGAATCCAGGTATGTCGAGACACGGGCGGAGAGAGCCCCAGCGCGGAATGACAAGGGCTGGCGGGGCCCCTGCAGTGATGAAGGTGTGAAGTGCCGAGCAGCGGGTGCATTGCTGTCGCGCAGCAGGTCCAGCCAGTGCCGGACAGGCCAGGACAGCCGCCTGTCTGGATCTACTTCAAAGAAGACTGTTGTGATAAAGAGTTTGTTTTCGGTTCATAGCTGCGCTCTACCTTGTGGTGTCTGCTCCTGAAGTGGCGTTTGTCCGTGTTTATCTTGTCGCAGGGCCGCGCCGTGCCTCTCGCCATCTGCACCGGGCTTTTTGTCCGTGCTCAGGCTCGGCGTCGTAGCTCGGGCCGCGGGGTTCGGGCCGCTTTGCCTGGCGAGCTCACTCCTGGTGCTTTCTGAAAAGACCTACCGCTTTGGTGCCCTTGAGCCAAGAGAGGGCTGTGGTGCCCTTGGGTAGAAAGCCCAGAGAAGGCTGTGGTGCCCTTGGGCCCAGAGAGGGCTGTGGTGCCCTTGAGTAAGGAAGACCAGAGAGGGCTGTGGTGCCCTTGGGCCCAGAGAGGGCTGTGGTGCTCTTGGGTAAGGAAGCCCAGAGAGGGCTGTGGGGCCTTTGTGAGTTTTGTGGAGTGCCAACTGTGACTTCTCATTGACTTGAAAGCGTTCGGAGTTGCAAACCTGTAAGCCGCGAGCGGCAACAATGTGTCTGCATGTCAGACCATGAAATATCCAATGAGTGTCTTGATCGTGATGGCGACATGTGCAAGCAAGTCTAATGACCACGGTGCCACGATTCTCACGATAAGAAGTGCACGATTCCAGTGTGATTTCACTTTCATACATTCGTCGCTTGGAGCATAGCCCTGGTTGAAAACATATCAAAGTTCCAAAATCTTCACTGAACATCGCCACACGATGCATGGAAGTGGCAAACAAGGTCGACACATCAAAGACGCAACATGGTAGCCACTTGCAAAATGCTCGTGCAGTCCTAATGCTATAAGATGCGCATTTCTAGTTATGCTAATTACGGAATGCATCATAAAAGGCTCGTTCTTGAACAAGTTTGTCACAGCCACTGTTGCGACGATGCCTAGAATTTCTTGCGCTATTGGTGGGAGCTGCCAGCGAGAACGATTGCTGGTCTCAGTTTGGCCTTGGTCATTCCTCGATGCAGGTAGAGGCAGCCATAAATTTTGTGAAGCCTGCCATGGATTGCTTGCTTGCAGTGGGGCTTGCCACGTGTGGCTCTGGTGCTGCTCGGTTAACTGGCGACATGATCGTGACCCTCCTGCCTGCGTTTGGACTTGCCTTTGAGGGAGTGCAGGCGACCGAAACGCTCGTCGATTTGCTCACTGTTAAGTTGTGTGCGGCGAGATAACGGAACACGAAGACTCTCATAATCATGCAGTGTCGGTGTCAAGGAGCAAGTCCGATAGCTTTCGACAAGCCTCGTTTGCAAACGTGCCTATCAAGTAGGCTGACTTGTAAAACTGATCTCAGATGCCGTGTGTGAGCCACGCCGACGTACCCAGGTCACGATGAAGAGTCAGATCTCGAGGACCTTAGATTGGAGTGCTTGCCGAAAAGGGAGCCAATGGGTGCAACGAGTTCTCGCGAGAGGAGTCGGACTGCCCGGAAGCGCCTCCAGAATCAGAGGAGGCCAGGCCACGATGTCACGAGACCTCCCTAGTGGAAAGACGTGTGCTAGACAGATGCACGACCTGTCCTTCAGCGGGTTTGTCAGCATGCAGAAGTAATTATGCCGCAAGCACTTTAGGTTAAATTTTCCGGATTGTAGTCTTATCCCGCCATATGCAGCAAAACAGATCCGATGTGTTCCTCGCGATTGTGGCAGGACTGCTGCCCTCGCACTCTGACACTCAAGCCTAACCAAAGTGCTTTGCACCACTGTACCGAGAACGGGCAATGCCTGAGGATCTCAGGCAAGCCTGCCCCACGAAGAAGTTCTGTATATGGCATCTGCTCATCTGGGAGAGACCATCAGGCATGTATAATTCCTCTGCATCAGACTTTGGTTCACCTCTGTGTGTGCACGCTACACAGGGCGCAGTGGTGTCGAAGGATCCCTTAGCATGCAAAGAAATCATCGAAGCAAAGCCTGGCACAGAGAAGCTGTATAGAGACACTGCAGAATCACCCGTCATGAATGTCTGAAAGCTGTTGAGAGACGTGTGTTGAGCCTGTGAGGAACCTTGGTCACCGGCGACAGTTGCAATCTCAGACCACTGCACATGCAAGGTCTCCAAACGAGCAGGCTTTCTTTGACCCAAGGTACCAGCCGCTGCCTGGGTGCCCGGAGTTGGGCAAACCAAGGCTTGTAATCTGTGACTGTTTCGAATGTCCAAACAGTTCCCAAGCGTCATATCCTGCCTGCAAAGATCAAGACCATGATGTGTGGGGAGGCGATTTCTGACGAGCGGTCGGACAGACGGCCTGTCTTGCTTGAACCTCAGATCGTTGCATCATGGCGTGCAGTGGCCGCTGAACAAGCTGCTGATCGGAGGCCATTTCCAAACGTGTCCACACAACAGCCGGAGCCTCTCAGTGAAGTGGGTTGCCGAGAAAGCCGTCAAGTTCAGCTTAAGTCTGTCAGGATGGCTGGGGACCTGAAGCTTGGCGCGTCAGGCATGTTTCACTCTTAGGCTCGGAGCGGTTTCCAGTGGGGTTGCCGCTCTCACGGCAGCCCCACATGCCGTGGAAGCGTCTTCCTCCCTCACACCTCTCCGGTGGCTCTCGCTCTTTTCAGCATGAGCATGGTAGGTCGATGGGACAGCAGCACACAGAAGCTGTTTGATCACACGGACTGTCTAGTGATGACATACTGAAAAGTGCCTGCGATAGCCAGTCTCGGATCTGCAAAAGCATTCTGAGATGTGTAGCTTCTTGTAGATTCCGGACATTTGCAGCTGGCATCAACCTGATGCTTGGTGCACCTGCCCGATCTCAGCAGAAAGCATGAAGCTCCTGCGCTGCCATTCTGGACGATGCCACATCATGCATTGGCATTGGTCAGCTGCATTCTTGAGACTTGATGCCACAAACACTCGTCGCCATGTTCCGGTGTGGGCTCGAGGCGTTGCCCTGAAAGAACGTGCCTACTGGCAGCATGCGAACTCAGTGCCACAGGCTCAGTGCAACAGAGCTTGGACCTCCCGTTTCCCGTTTTCAAAACCGGAGTGCCGCTAATCTGCGGGCTCCTGCTGTCGCATCGGGGCAAATGATCTCGTTCACGCCCGCAGAGATGAAGAAAGAAAGCATCTTCACGGAGTACGAGGGGTTACTCCGCTTCTCTTCACTACGGAAGGAAAACCTGCGACCCTGCGCAAAATTCCATAATAGTGTGCTATGGCGGCGAATTGCTGACCTGAATGCCCATGAATGAAAGTCTGCAAGAGTGCGTTGCATTTGCTTATCAATGGACGATTCACTTTGAATGGCTCTCACTGCAAGCCGGGACCGTGGCTCCAGGGGCATGCTCGCTGAGGTTGAATATCTTCAGTTGTGACTCGCGAAGGGCTAAAATCTGTCGGCATATGTCGGCATGATTTCATCTTGGTCCTCCCTCTGAGGCTGTGACAGAAACGACAGAGAAGGTGATGGTGGTGGCAACAGTTTGCTTCAGTGTGTCGCACGGACGAGCAATGGTTGCGGTTGCGCCGCCTGTTTACGACTTTACGATACAGAAAGAACTGTTGTGGCGTGTGTACTTCAGTAGTTTGGAAAGCTGATAGGGAAACCAGGTGGGCCCCCGAGTCCTTTTTTCAATGCCAGTGTTTTGAAGCAGGGACTAATTTTCAAACACGCGCTTAGTTTTAACATATTCTCGTTCTAGCATTGGATAAGATCCCTCCCATTGAAAAATGAAAAAACTTTGAATAGCTGTGATGATGTAGAATGCGTTCGCACGCCACAACGCCCCTCTCCAGAAAGGATACTACGGGCACATCTCTTGGGGACTTCCCGTAAGATGCAAAGCAGCGTCGCCGGTCGCTCTGGGAGTTGGCGTCACCAGGAACAGAGATCAACTCAAGCAAGCTCTTCTTGTTGTAAGAGTTCGCCTCGTCCGTTCGGGGAGAGGGGAGAAGCTCCTGCCCGGAAAGCTAGGGACCCTGCAGAATTCGAGTCTCTCCGTGGTGGAAGGGCTTAGATGGCTTAGGCCTTGGCCCTTATGTTTGACTTCCCACATTGGCTTTTTCTTCAAGGGTTGCCTGTCGTAGTCGCAGAAGTGGCCCGCCAACGAGCGAAAGAAGATGTCGATCTTTTCAGCACAACAAGGGTTGAGTATGCAATTGGCTGCATGCTTGTCAACACCCAGGAACTCCCATGTCATTTGGTCTGATATGGCGGTGGGCCTGCGAGATTTCGGTTGTCGGCAAGAGAACAGTCTGTGCTCCTGTCAAGTGCATCTCTATGGCAGACAGTGGTTAAAGTTCAATGCGACGACGGTGAGATTTATCGCCTGACGCTTCAAGCCGAGCGGGAGCCTCAAAGGCCCTTTTCGCTTGCTGGGCAGCCCTTGCTGCCTTGCTGCTGCCAAGGCCGAGCTTCGAGTCCGTGGTGCAGGTGGTCGCGAGCTGCCGCTGCTCGGACGATGAGTTTCAGCCGTTCACAGACGTTTGAACCCTTAAGGCTTTAGAGTTTAGTGCCAAGTGAGCATCAAACAAACTTGGCTTTCAATCCGCGTGATCTGAGAGTGCGGTCAAGTCACATGGCCTCGCTTCGTACTGAACATTCTCAGTGTCATGGTGCCAGCCTCCTTCCGACCTGGTGACTGTTCCAACCTTGCTTGTCCCGTGTTGGTACCTCTGCAATCTTCATCCAAGCCCTCGTGAAGGCAAGCATGGGCTTTGCAGACCGAAGGTCAGAGGTCTGCTCTCCGCTCTGTCTCTGCTACGCCTCTCGCAGTTGTAGCTTGTCTCCATACTCCCATCTTTGGGACGTCAAGCTTCACCTGATTCAGGGTTTGCAGGTGTAGCCTGCCAAAATGACAGAGAACGTCTTGCAGAGCGAGGGCTAAACCTGTTAGCACACTTTCAGCTTTTGCAAGTATGTGTAGCTTCAGATCCGTGATCTTCCTTTGTGCTGCTGAGGTCCTGAGTTGACAGCCGCGATGCTGTGTGAAGGAGGCAGTTGTGCTCTGAAATACGTGCGGAGCTTGTCATCGGAGATTCCAGAACGAAGTGGCTGGGCAATGTCAGTCCTCGATGTGGTAAGGCCGACGAGGAAGGAGATCTGTGCACTCTTGCACCATCTACATTCGTGGACTTTCTTGAGCAGTGCGCCCCACAGCACAGAGACACTTCTATCATCGTAGCATGGATCTGTGCTCGGACTCTTTTGCCGGTGCTAGACGTGGCAATCAGCTCATGCTAGGCAGCGAGGATCGAACAGTCGCTTGCTGAAGCCCAGCCGGCTTAGTTTTGGGGCGAACGTGCATGGAGTCGAGCTGACAGAGGCTTCTGCATACAGGAGATAGGAGTTCGACATCGCGGCAGGTTGAAGCTGTTCCTACCCAAGCAGCCAGTTTGCGAAAAAGATGCTTCAAGAGAGCAGGAACTTGAAAGACCAGAGAGGCAGGGGAAGGGACCTTCGGGAGTTTTTTCTCCGCCTCCTCTCCTTTGAGTTGAGCGCCGTTTGCCTGTCAGGAAAGCCCCTCTCGAAAGGCAAGGCGACCGGTCGTCTATCGTCGATCCTCCGCCGGAGTCAAAGTATGGAAATCTCAAAGAACCGATGCCTTTCTTGTGCTCTTTCCGAGGATCCAAGGCCCACCGCCTGGGCTTGAGAAGGAGGAGACATTGACATTCTTCAACGGAATTCTGCATTGCTTTCTGCTGGGAGGAGACCGGCGATTGTTTTGGCGGGTGCACTGGTGGTCCCGGAGCCTGGGGCCGGGGGCCTCTGCAACTTCGCACGCGCCAAAGCACAACAGTTTGCCGCAGGCCCCGGTGGTAATGGTGGAGGGCCTCGCCGTCTTCTGGCTGCGCTGCGCATGTTGCAGGTGCGCTAGCCTGCAGTCTTGCTTGGTCTGTCCTCCTTCGAAGTGCCCTTTTGTTTGTAGGAGACGGGGATGCTCACTCCCGCCATGTTCGCGTCACTGGCTGTGTCACCCGAGCTCGCTTTTGAAGCACGGGTCTATCGTTGATTCTCCGAGAAAAGCTCCAGGCAATGGCTTCCGCTTTTGACACAGCGAGTTGCACGCAAGGTTGACAAGCCCTGGCCTCGGCTTGCTTTCCTGCTTGATTCGACTAGAATTTGAGCGAAAGCAAAGCTCAGGATCAACCATGTAGCTCGCGATGGTCTCAACGAGACGTGGAAAAAACTTTTGGAAAGAATCCAGGAGCCAAGAGCACTTCCGAGTCTTTTCATCTCACTCATTGCTTTGTCTGCTCGTCGTGACTTGAGCTGCAGCATGGCCCGAATTGTGACGATGCCTGCGGGCTTCACCTGCAACTGGGACTTGGTGCCTGAGAGGAACTGGCAGCAGAAACTCCGGGATTGGAATCCTTTGCTTCTCCGATCTCGGAGGCGGGGACGTGGTGTGAAGTGGTGTGAAGAAAGAGAGTCTGACTTGTTTGCTTTTCTTCCTTCAAAGGCGCTTCGAGGCGGAAACGGGCAAAGGCCCCGTGGATGCCAAGCGATGCACTTGCCTTGGGATGTCTTACGGCCGTGGGGGTCAGGCGGCTGGGTGAAGCCATCCTCGAGCTTTTGAAAGCACTGCGAGGGCTCAGTTTCGAGGTTCGCTATGTCCGCCCTTGACTTCGTCTGTCCATGCCATCCCTCCTATCCGCAGGTTCAAGCGAGCTTCTGTGAGCAAGTTTCTGCCAGCCTGCTACCTTTCCTGGAGGAGCTTCGCTCTCGTGTCAGCACGAAATGCATGCAGGCAGTCTTTCACGGAATGTGCGGGACCCCTTTTGCGATGAGGATCTCACCCGATCTTGGACTGGCGATGAATGTGCGCCGGATTCTATACAAAGCACATAGCCACTGTGGCCTCCCGTGCTTTCGATCCAAGTCAGCCGAGGCCAAGCGGAAATCTGACTCCGTGGCCTGCCACCTAGCAGATGTATGGTGGTCTCGAAGATGAGGGTGGGGAGGGCGAGCCCGCCAGGCAGCACCATTTCGGCATCAAGTGTCAGGGCTGCGGTGTTAATCCCATTGTGGGCCCACGCCGCCACCCCACTTCAGAACTGGGCATTGTGGGACTGCTGGCAAAATTCTTGGCAGATTTCCTGGGCTGAGGCTTCAAGTGCCCTGTCTGTCCCAGCTACGACCTTTGCCTGCTCCTGAAAAGTATTGTTGGTGGCTTCGTGTCCATGTTGTCTGAGCTTTCGTGAAGTGCCAAGGTGGCAATTGCTACCCGACAAAGCTCCAACTGCACGGCAATTGCCCTGGCTGCCGCAAGGACTTCCAGTGCTTTATCTTCCCAGGCCATCTTTGGTATAAGCTCGATCGATTTGGCTCTACAGCGATCTGGACTTCCGTTTGCTGCAAGCTGCGGCGAGACGCAGAAATTGTGCATTTATCCAAACGTACATTGGCTAAAATCCGTAACAGGCAGTGCGGGTTGTGTGGCTCTCAGCAGTTCCTATCATGGTAAGCTGTATGCATAATGTGGTATTCAGTCACTGCGAACAGCTTTGGTACAAAACCTTCGTGATTAGTTACTAGAAACAACGATAGCCAATACGAGCGCAGAGGAACATGAAATTTGCCCGATGGCAGTAGCAACAACATCTTCACTAGTACTAGTACTACGGTGGATGGAGGAAATCTTGCACCACCTCACATCTTGTTGCGAATACACATCCAAGCAACAACCCCGCGCCCCCTTCTTAACATTGACGACAGACCTCTTGGGGCGGTGCAAGATTTATGTCATTGGAACGATTTCGTAAATCCCCGTGTTCATAGCAATGTTAAGAAGGGGGTGCGGGGTGAAGCTAACTAACATATCTTAAAAGTGGTGCAAGATTTCCTCCATCCACAGTAGTACTAGTACTAGTACTAGTACTAGTACCAGTACTACCGCTATTGATACTTTACCGCCGCTACCACCACAACTCTTCGCGACTGCTGCAACAACAACAACTACTACTACTACTGCTACTACTACTACCAAAGCAGCTGGATATTGTCATCGGAGAGCCGAATCCAGATCAAGGCCCCTGTAATCATGATCAACATCGCTCTTCCCGTCAGCTATCAGAGAAGACTCAGCGGAGCGATGAGACCACAGGTCCAGTGCAGATGATCGTCCCTCTCGTACCATCTGTTCAGCAGCCTCTTGTGCACAGACGGTAGAACATGGACGTAATATGTTCATCAATCCGCCTTGTTTGACACGTTCAAAGCAGCAAGATTGTGGGATAGGGGGACAGTGGATTGCACAAAAGGTGATTACAACTCAGTTTCAATTCTGTACAACACACACGCTGATTCAAAGCTTTATATCCGCAGCTGCACAGGGTCGCCCAGCGACTCATTGAGCAAAGAGCCACCCCGAGTCAGCACCACCACCAGCACCAGCACCACCAGCAGCACACAACCAGCACCACGACCAGAGCACCCGCAGCGCCAGCACCACCACCACCACCACCAGCACCACCAGCACGACCAGCACCACCAGCACCACCAGCACCACCAGCACCACCAGCACCACCAGCACCACCAGCACCACCAGCACCACCACCACCGCCCAAGCACCACTGACGCCACCGTGGCCGCCGCCGCCGCCACCCGCCGCCGCCATCACCTCATCCACTCATCCATATCGTGCCCTGCCCCCCCCCCCTTGGACGCTCCAGCTCTGCGCTTCTCCGCCTCTCCGAGCCTCTTCGGTTCTGTGCCTTTCTGCCTCCGTCTCCGCCACCACCCTTCTGCTAGTAGGATTGGTATTGCTGCTGAAGGTCATACTGCTTGTGATGGAAAGACTGTCAACTTTGCCACTTGTTGCAGCTATGACACGAACCTTGGAATCCAGAGGTAAGGGCCAACAGGATGGGCAATGGTTGCAGCGATCATAGCGACCACCAGACAATCTTCGCAAGACCAGTTGAACTCCACGACGAAAAGGTCCCGCATTGTACTCCATCAGATGTTGTTTCTTGTCGATAATTTTGAAGAGGATGACGCCAATCATGGCCTCGATGAGGATGACGATGACAACGGCTGCAAGAACCAAGAATGATAATGATGATCATGATGGTGGCGATGATGAACGGCGATACCGGTGATGTTGCTGTTGACGCTGGTAGTGATGATGAAGACGGCGATGGTGATGTGGTGCATGCGGTGTTTTGGTCATCCTGACGGTGACGATCATCATGATTTCAATATTGATGGCTGTGGTAAGTTTCGACGATGGTGATGCTGTGGTAGCCGTGTAATGATGAGCCATGAACCGTGAGGACGAATCGCAAACCCGACGAGTACCCGATCTGATGGCTGAAACCCTGGATGTTCAATCAGATGAACGGGCAAGTGCTGTAAGACTTGACTGTCTGATGGGCTTGAAATCGGAGGATGCAGAAGGAATCGAATTTGTGCTTCTAATCCAAAGCTCTGTCTAAGAGCCTTCAAGTTTACGATTCGCACCACGGTGCCGCCGACAGTGACAAGGGTATTACCAGTAGTCCCAAGCATTCAATCTGGCATACAGTTCACCTTGTTCCCCTGTGCCTGCAGGCAAAGATTCAAAGAGCAAAGGAAGCAAGGGTGTGGGAGAAAAGCCAGAGCTTCAAGCTCAGATCCAGCATCGGTTGAGTACATGTGCAGATTCGCTCGTTTCATCGCACGGTTCAGACTGCAAAGTGTGTGTGTGTTGTGCCAGCGCGTGTCGTGCAAGCGAGTACCACGAATCAATCCCGGCGCCTAAAGTTCGAGCACGCGCGATCCGGGAAATCGCGGTGCGAACACACTCTGGATCCAAGCGCTGGCGATTCAAGCACGAAAGCCGGATTCAAGCTCAGACGATTTAAGCACACGCCATTCAAGAGGGCTTGGTGGATTGGTGCAGTGAAACAGTTCTACAGTTGGTTATCTTTTAGGGTTTCGGGTTTTAATTTTAACGCTACGCCGCCCGCCTCGGCTGTGTAGCGGCAGGGCGAGGGGGCAGTCGATGTTTTTTTATGCTAGGGCGGCCTGTCAAACCCCAAGCTTTACACGGTTGTTGATACGAAGTGCCAGGAAAACGGGCACAGGGGGAGGGAGGGGGGGGAGGGGGGGGAAGGGGGGGAGGGGGGAGGGGAGGGGGGCAGGGGGGGGGGGAGGGGGGGCCTGGGAGGGGGGGGGAGGGCGACAAATCAGGTAAAATGAGGGGAAGCCGGGCAAGGGGGTGGCAAACGAACGCAAAAACAGGGTGTCACCAATCATTTCGGGTGGAGGGAGGAGGATTAGGTGGAGGGTACCTGAGGTAACCACCAAAACGCCTGGGCCTCTGGCCTCGGCGGATTTGACAGGTTTGGGCCTTTGTATGATAAACATTTTTTCAGGTTCAAGGTTGTCAGGGTTTATAGTAAGGCTTGTAAGGTTGGGTTTGCAGGTTAGGGATTTTGCGATTGTTGCTTGTTTGGAGGGTTCAGTGTTCAGGGTGTTGAGGATTGGGGTTTTGAGTTTGACCAGGTTTGTGCTGCTACGGTTTGCAGCTGCTATGCAAAGCATGGTTTGGGGCTAGGAGTGTTTACGACTCAGTGTTTTCAGGGTGTTCGTGATTCAGGTTTTCACAAGGTTGAGGGTTTAGGTCTTGTCGTTGAGCCCAGGTTGCGAGCGGTAAAGCTTCAGCGTTTCGAGGCTTTATATACGGTGTAGGGTGTTCATAGGGTTCAGTTCTCGGAGCACGAATTGGCATGCAAATGTGCGAATCCTGTGTGAATCCGAGTTGTCCGTGCATGAATCCGCGGTGTCCGTGCAACACGGGTCATTAAGGCTTGACTTAGCCATGTGTGTTGCAACAGTCCCAAACCAGTCCTCGCGACATGGCAAAGCTTCTCTAGACAGTTAGTCCTAGTGGACCACGCGCGCAGCCTTTCGGAACCTAGGAAGGCGTCCTGTGAGCAGCGCTCTGAGTGGAAGGCCCGGCGGCCCAAGGGAGGGCCAAAGACACCCCAGTCTCTCTCTCTCTCTCTCTCTCTCGCTCTCTTTCCCTCTCTCTCTCTCTCTTGAGCACTCAGACTCAGCCCGTGTCCGTGTCTCTGCCCGTTGCGTGTGTCAGGGCTGCCAGGGCTGGGCTGGCAAAGGTGCGGGTCCGCTAGGCGCCTCCGGTTTCGTGGGCTCCACTTTCGTGGGCTCGGTGTGGTCCCGCATTTCAGGGCCTCAGGTTTCCACGCAAGCACGAGGGCTGTGACGCAAATGACGAGACTTTACGAGAGCTCAGAGCTTCTACGTCTCGGCAGGTCTAGTGGCCTCGATGGCTGCTGGACTGGGACATGGAATCGGCCGAGACGCCCAGAAGCGCTTGTGTGTTAAAATTGGTCTGCACCTTTTTGGCCATACAGGGGCGGCTGGTGGCTTTCCGTGGAACCCTTACCGGATCGACTGCATCCTTGCACTTGCTGAACTTAGTGTGCAACTTGAGATTTCCTCCTCTTGGCAATGCTTGCGGATTTCCTTTTCCTGGCAATGACTTTTGCCGAATGGACGAGGGGCAGCAGGATGGATGCCAGAATGCGAGAAGCCGGTCAGTCCATCATGCCCCTGGACACTGCCAGGACCTGCCTTGGATGGACCACGTGCCCTGGGGTAAGGGCAAAGGGAAGAAGGGCTGGAGAAAGTCCAAAGGATGGAGCCAAGAGGAGCACAGAACCGAAGAGCTCAGTGCCGAGGACGAGTGCCGGGCTCGATATCGCAGTGAGGGTGTACTGCTGGTGTGCTTGGTAGATGCTCAGTCGTTCAGATTTAGGTTCGAGAAAAAGCTCGCCTCCTTGCGCGAGTTGCGGCTCGGAAGTGACGAGGTTGCTCTGCTTCAAGGTTTCCAGTCTGAAATCCTTGCTCTCACTGCTGTCGGACACGGGAGGTGCTCCGGGAAGTCCTAATTGCTTGTGACGGAGACGTCACACGCGTTGTCAGAATACTTGTACATGACTCCTGACAACCGTGTTCTTTGATCGCTAATGCATGCCTCGGCCATAAGAGTATGGCGGGAGAAGAGTCTGGCACTGCCAATGGCTGAAAGTACTTACTGCATGCCTACACACATTTTCAAAATGCAGGGCCTCTCAGTGCGGTAGTTGGCTGGTGCTGCAGAGTACAGTGATGCACCGGCTCTCCCTTCCATAGGATGGCCTATGGGATCCTGTGGAAGTTCAGTCGACAGGTGACACGGTCCTGCCTGGTTCTGTTCAAGACAGCAGGAGTGATGTGTAAACAAGCTCTGCGCGTATGGTGCTGTCGATGGCAATGGGTTGCGGCTTGGTGTGCGTGCCCTCACGGACGCGTTACTGGAACCTGACTGCCATGTGCAGGCTCTAAGCAGACCTTCCCCAACACAGCAAGCCAGTGTTCTGTACTAATCAGGAATGAACAAGGAATCGCAGTAACCCTACCGCATCGTAGCTGCATAGCTTCTGGATCTTCAGCACCCACCGCACTCGATGCGTCAGTGCAGCTGCATTGTTTGGATCTCTCAACAGCTAGCAGCTACCAAAACATCGGACAATCTCTTTGCGTGACAGTTCTCTTCCAGCTCCATAGTCGCAGCCATGGATGGGACGGACAAAGACTTGGGATGGGAGGCGCTAGTGCCGATTCATGTGCATCACATGCAAGCAGGCTTAGGCAGCATGCGACTGAGGGGTAGTCTGAGAGTTGCAGGACGTTGGCGCCCGTGGAGGGGCACCGGGCGGAAGCATGGCCGGTCGCTCCGGCTTGCCTGGAAAGGTGGAGGAGCTGCAACCGGTGATTTGGTGTCGCCACTCGCAAAGCCCTCGAGAAGCGAAGGCGCCAAACATCTCTGATGCAGTCACCAGTGCCATGATGAACCAATTTGCACGGGAATTGACATCCAGTTCCGAGCTCGGCATGGTTCATCGCCAGTTAGTGACAGTCAGTGCTCCACCAAACATAGTACACAGTGCACCAGCGCCTGCTTTGAGGTTCGCTTAGTCTTTGGCCACAGTTCGTCCAGATAGCCCGGCGATACTTCAATGCTCGCAGCCTGGGTTCTGGATGTACAGAAGTCAGCAGACACAGAACCACTTCGGTGCAGACGCGACCGAGGTGCATCATGGATATGTACTTCGAAAACTGCTCTGGCAGTTGATGCCGTTCCACAGGCCACCTGCTTCTGAGCGGGGTGATTACAGTTGCTCACCAGCATCTTGTGGATGACCATCGGCTGCCCATCTGCCTGGCCGTCTTTTCCGTCTGTCTGCGCATGTCTCAGTGCGTGCGTGAGGTTCAGCAGTATTCGGCATGATTCAGCATGGATTAGAGGCTGGACAAGGAGGTGGACCAATCTTCTGGCACAAGCACTTACCCTGTAGTGCCCTTGACAAATCCAAGCTCATCTACTCAGTGGTTTGGGAATTCACGGTGCGATCTCTATCTTGAACTTCCCTCAGATCTTGGCACTCTTTGCTCATAAAGTAGGGTCATTGGCCTGCACTTGTTCCCATGGCTTCGCCTTTGCCGCGTCCTGCGGGAGCTGGTGAGCAAGTCGGTGCCTCTTAAGCTTATGCGATGCTCACGAGATTTTGTTGCGCACAAATCTGTATGGTTCTGATATGGATGCTGTTGCAGGCGTCTCGACCCGGAACTGTGCATTCCCGCTTCCGGTGTCCATGCCGCATCCATCGCACCTTCCTGCAGGATATCCCGTGCGAACCGCGCTCCCGGCAAAATCACCGTACCACAATCCCGCAGCTGCCATTCCCTTCGGCTGCGCGCCGCAACCTATCGTGCACGTCCGGGTGACGCCAGCTCCAAACCGGCAAGTTGGTGGGCCGCAGAGAGTGACGTCAACTCGAAGGCACCGACGTCTGCAGGTCTGTGTCCCGGCATTGTGATGCTTTCGTGGCTGCGGCTAATGCAGACAGCAACAGCATTAACATCGAAAGAGATGTGCAGGTGGCAATCTGGAGGAGTGTCCCTGGCGCAGTTCATTCCCGCGGTTGAGGCTGACTGTCGGAAATGCTTCAGAATTCTTCTTCTGCATGGTCTTCAGCAGCGGCTAGGAATCTCGCCGGCGGCCGAGCCCGCGTGATCAGGCTCTGGGGGTGCCCCTTGCGCAAGTCCAACATGTCAACGGAGCTTTGTCGTGCTTCTTTTTTTTCTGTGCTTGTCCTTGAGGCTTACGCAGCTTTCTTGGATGCCATCTTGTCCTTGGGCCTTCTTCAGGACAGCATGCAGTGGGGCGGGAACTTTCGCCAGCGTGCGGGCGCGTTGCCAGGACATCCCAGTCGCGGAGGGTAGTCGAAGTCATCCTCTGGTCAGGCCGCAGCATGGCCTGGCACGGGTATTCGGCAACTTGTTGTCGCACTCGCAAATTCTGCACAGCATATGAACAGCTGTCAGGGTTTCCCTCCCGTTCTGCGGCGCCTTGTCCGAGGTGGATCTTTGTTTGCAAGCAAGGATTTATTGAAGCCTGAGCTTGAAAGAGGCACCTCGACTGCTGCCATTTTTGGCGACGCATATCAATCAGCAGGGACCTCGAAGTACTCGGAACCAGCTTCGGCCTGGCAGTACAGAGCAGGACGTCGTGCGCTCTGGAGCTGCATGGGTGCGACATAGATGACAGGCATCGGAAGCGAAGCTTCGTGTTGCCGACTTGCCTTTGCAGTCTCTTCGCATGGTGTTCCGTTGCAGTCCCTCTGCCTACTGGTGGCCGGCTTGGGAGGAGCTCCATGGAGCTGCAATTTTTTGAACACACACTTGTTTGCAGCGTCTGTGTAGTGTTGGTACGACCTGGCTCATACTGCCGCATCAGGAGTGGACAGCCAAACTTCACGGTGATCGATGTAGTTTGTGCTTCCAGAAGAAGGCCTGGCTCCGTTCTTGCAGCAGCTTTGGCAAATTTCTGCTGCTTCAAGGATTTGGCAACCGAAAGGCTGCCGGTCGCGCATTTTGGACTGGTCTTAGGCGGTGTGCTGCAATGGCGGTTGTAGCTGCCAGTTGACCGGGGTTAAAGCAGGCTGCGCCCGTGCAGGCATACATCCCCTTGTGATGGGTGTCGGCTGCGAAGCATCGTGGCGGCGGATCATGGAGAACGTGCCGCGGCACAAAGTGTATCAAGCGGCATCTAACTTCCAAAGCTGCAGATTGGGTTCGCTTGACTCATCTCGGATCTGTGCTCTGTGCAGGTGCTCAACAGGCATCTTGGAATTTTGCATAGTGTAGTTGCAGAAAGCATCCAGCTGACTGCGCTGCCGCTTCCAGTTGCCAACCTGGCGGCAAATGCGTTTTTGCCACCTTCTACTCCTTCGAGGTCCCAGTCCCAGTTTTCAAGTTTTGCAAGTGTTTGTTATCGTGGTCTGAGGATGTGTGAGGGTTTTGCCTTGCAGGCGACCTCGGTGCAGAGACATTGCAAGGAGAAGTTGCCACACTTTTGCCTCTGAACATGAAGCGGTGGTGCCATCTGTGGTTCCAGGACCACGGGTTCTCAGCAGAGATTCGCGAGAATCCACACTATGCCCGGAACTGAGATCCCCGACGGAGCAACCATGTGCTTCTTTGTGTTTTCTCATGTTGTCACAGTTTAGGCGATGACAAGGTCGGATCAGGTGCCCGGCCGACATGCCAACATGTGACACGGTGGTGCACCATACTTGTCTTGTGATGCCTCTGAGAAACCTGCTTTGTTGTTCCAGTCAATCATCTCTTTCGCCGGTACCCTCGTGATGCCGTCTGGGTAGTGTCGCTGAGATCTGGGCTCACCCCCTACGCGAGCTGCTGCACATGTCTCTTCTCTTCAAGAGGTGCTGGTTTTCCCGGCTGCGCAGAGTTGAAACGTGTGACAGGCCGGAACACATCTGAGATTCCTGGTCTTCGTCCACTGCTGAATTGTTGAAAAAGCTGCTGGACTTGTTAGCACCAGAAGATGTGCAAGCATTGCTTTTGGCTTCTTAGACAAAATTTGAGGATTGCTTCTGTATCTCAAATTGGGCTTTGGCAGACGCAAGATTTTGGGACAGTGCAGCACTTCTGAGGTCCTGAAGTCCTGAAATACTGCACTGTCCCTATAATTGGGCTTCCCTGAATCAAAAATGCTGCACTGGCACCCAAAAAATCCAGACAAAATGACGAACCCCACTTCAACACTTCCAGGGATACCATAAATGACGTTGCTGTAGATGCCGAGCCGTTGAAGCCATGGCGAGTGAGCTCGGCGAGGATGGGCCGAAGTGACTGTTTTCGGAGGTCACCAGAGTCCAGAGTCGCAAAGGCCGACCTGGCCTTTCTTCAGACTGCGGCGAGCGGCCCAGACATCTGGGCTCGCTTAGTGGCTTAGTCTACGGCACTGACTCCAAGGAAGCAGAGCTGACCGCGGTCTCAGATCGAATGCTGGTTCTTGCATGTGCCTGGCCGGGCTGCAACAAGCAACCTCAACAACGCTGCAGTCATCCAGGTACGCTGATCTGGCTCTTGAGCGATTACCTGGTGCGAGACCCAGGGATGGACATGCTATGTCTCCTCTTCGAATCTCTTCGCATAAGACAGGTTCAGCGGCTCTGTCCATTCCCTCCGGCCTGATTCCGAGAACATGGCATCTGGCGTGATTTGCGCGAGTTTGAAAGTGAGGCGCCGGAGGCAGACAAACTTTATCTTCGAGACGAGCTGCACGAGGCGAGTCTGGCCGCAGGCTCAGAGAGCGCTCGGGGAGAACACTTCCCAAGCCTTCGTAGTGTGACACTGGTCAGATGGCCTCAGATTCTTGTCTCGCGAGTTTCTCTGCGTCGCATTCTCGCTTGCGGTCGCTGGAACTCGCGGAGCGGCCATGCCTGGTGCCCGGATTGCATTGCACGCTTCAGACCTGCCTGTCTGCCTGAACCTTCAGATCTCGCTTGTCACGCTCATGGAACTCGCCTTGCAAATCCGTGGCAAGTATCGTTGTAGGTCATTACTTTGCTTGAGAAGCACGGCGTGATGCATCTGCACGCCTGCAGGCCTTTGCTTTGGCTGTCGAGTCTTCTCACTGTGGGTTGGCCACGGTCCTGCAGTGGAGAGAAGATGAGAGGAGTGCAACAGCACGCAATCAGTGAAGCACGCCAAGCCCCAGGCTTTGCGAGCAGCATTTGGAGCATTCGACCTGCATTACGCAGGCTGGCCTGCAGTTTACAAGTTCCTGTAGAAGTGCGTGAGTCCGGTGTTGGACAGGTCGGCAAGCCCTTGATTGCTTGTGCCGCTTCGTCGATCTAAAGCAAAGCATGCAGGGTATGACGGTATGGCTGTCTGCTGGCTGCTCTATAAGACTCTAAGGTTCGAGGTGTGTTGGTGACTTTGCTCCTTTGGGCGCTGTACCTTGCATGTCCTCACCTTGGCTGTGGGAGCTGGTCAGCTGATCGATCTTCGTTTTTGTCCTAGGTCGATGTTGCGGCTGTTGCGGTTCAGGTGGGCCGTCGGCCGTCACGCGATTGCCTCTGCTGCGTCGTTTCACGGATCTGTTCCCACAGGCATCTCGGCGGGATCGTCGCAGGCCAGTCTTGGAATTCCGGCAACGCATTGTGATCGGGTAGATATTATGTATCAAAGCGACCCGAGCCGAATCGAGAGTTTGGGCAGCACTACCGCCAACAGACCATGCCGACCTTGCCAGATGCAACAGCTGTCTTTTTGCTTTCTGATTGGTTTTGTTCGCTTCGTTCTCTTGGACCTGCAGGCACCGTCGGCAAAGCAAGGCAAGAATTTGTTTCCTACGCGCCTGAAGAAAGTGTTATCCGGTGCAAAGGTGTGGAGAAGCCATTGCTCTGAGTCGTTTCAATTCCGTAGCCCTCGCCTGGCGTTCCTTCTGCAGTGACGAAAGCAGAAGCATGCGTAAACATGTTCTTGCGGCTTCGTGCACGGAACGCCATGGTTGAAGCAGGCGTTAATGAGTTAATGCCCGATGCTTGCTTGGTGTTTTGGGGCGAGTGTCAGTGGAAAAAAGGTTGAGACAATGCTGCCATGGTTTCACTTGCGCAGCCTTTGGTCTGTTGGGTAATTTGCCTCTCTGCAGTACAAAGAAGAAGTCCACGGATGGCGAACTGGGAAGTCACAAGGAGTGAATCCCAGCGGCATGTCACAACAACGGTTCTGTCATGTACCGAGCACGAGGACTGGACAGTTCGTATGATCGACGGCCTTGAGGTTGATATCGAGGAGCACTCGTGCAGCAGTTTTCGCTGAAGTAAGCTCCGCAAAATCTCTGTCGAAGGGACTGTAGCAGTGTCGAAGGGCTGGTCCTGTCTTGCGAGGTGCCAACCCCAGACTTGGTTTTGTTGGCCTGGGGACATCAATCATGTAAGCTGTGCTGGAACGGCTGCCCCAAGAACCTGCACGCTTGAGGAGCGATGTGCTGTGAGAGACAGCTTGACAGGAGCCTGACTTGTACATTCCAACCATGGGCTTCGTCACTTACGTGACCCCAGTCGCAGAATGGGAGTCATCCAGAGAGGCTTCGGCACCTGAGTCTTCTTTCAGGTGGTGCTTTACGGTGTGGTCCGGGGCATCCAGGCAGGTCAGTCACGACCTTTCGTCAGAGACAAACCGAGAGATCCGAAGGAGACGTTTGCTCCGGAAGTGCTCTCTGCGACTATCAGCTCGGCCTTGGCAAACGTCTCAGAGCTTCTGAGACTGGCCATGGTTAGCACAAGTTGCACAAGGTTATTCTTGTCGTTGAGATGGCCTTGATGAAAGGGGCCCTCTTCATGGCAGGGGCTGTGGCGTGTCCGCACTAACTCGCCGGTGACGACTCCTCAGGCTCCGATTCTGTGAGGTCAACACACCTACGCTGGACCTCTTGGCGCTGCTTGGGCCGAACCGTCCTGTTTAGCGTTGCACACAGCTCCTCCATGAGCCTATGAGGTGTGTACACCGATGTCAATGTAGATGTACGAGGTACAAGTTTCTCTACCTGTCTCTGCATCTTGGTGTCGGCCTCCTCTGTGGACATGGCCGCAGACCGGCAGGTGCTGCTTGCGTTGGGTTCAAGCGTTGATTATTATCCTCCTTGCTTTCTGCGAGGCTTTTTTTATGGCTTGCTGGTCGGTGGCCTGCACATCAGCTGCGGCATCGCACTTTGGCAGGCTCTGCCCGCATCGTTTCCTGTCTTCGATGCTCCTGCAGTTGTTTAACTTTTGCTGATGCACTGCGTCTGTCAAGAGGCTTTGAGGCGTCTGGCTCGATTGCCGTGGCCTCACCGTTTCAAAATCTTGGTCTCAGGTATCACCCTTTCTCTCCTGCCTGAGGCAGCCATCCCACGGTCAGGAATGTGTCACAGACATGCACCACATGTGCATCAAGGCGTGAGCATGCGAGCATGCGAGAGCAGAGGTAGTCAGAAGCGATGTGACCGATTTCCAACTCAGGTGCTACCGATCATGCAAGCAGCTGTGTGTCCAGCCGGCTTGCATTGAGATACGTGTAGGAGATGGCTTATATTCCAAAGCGGATTGTCGCAGGCTGGCTGCTGCTCCCATCTTGGCCGAAGGTGGTAATTGTCAATGCTCCTGAGGAGGCAGCGGCTGTCGTGTTATCTGCGGCTAGCCTCATGTCGCACCAGCTCCTGCCGGAGGTCACCATCGCCATCACCACAACTGCCGCATCAGTGCTGAGCGGAAACTCGAGTGCCGTCTGATGCTTGAAGCTTCCTAGACTAGTGTGTTGACAAAAGGCAGACGTACTAGCAAAAGAGCACAACGAGCACTGAGATCACGGTAACAGTCTTGTATGTGGATGCTTTTCTTAAGTAGCACCACTCGTTTTTAGCCAAAACGAAGCAAGTCAAACTGAAGTCTCTGCGTCCCGTTGTGATGCGTTGTGATCGCAGTTTTGCGGCCAACTTCCGCCACTAATCGATGAATGTGATTCTCGGCTGCCCCAGCCTGCACGAAGCAAACTGCCCGTCCCCCCGAACGAACCGGTCTCGGGTGTCTTGTTGCTTGCCAGACGGCATTCCCAAAGAGAGTCCTCTGCAGAAGTAGTGATACCTCCCACTTTGTGCCCGTGCAGCAAACGCCGCTGTTGGGTGGTGACTGGTAGCGGTCTGTTGGGTATGCTTTCTTCTTGACCGAGGCATGGCCCTTGCTCGAAAGAGTCACGTAACGAAATCGTGCCTGCAGTCCTCAGCAACGGGGATCGCCCCTTTCCTGCAAACCCTGGCAGTGTGTCATGAAGGTTTTTGGCCGATCTCACTTGATTGTTGTTATCCTGCGCATAGATCTCTGTTGTGATTCTGCAGCGTTGTCTAGACGCATCGCTAGACCGATGTGTTCTGATAATGATAGTCATTCCATCGCTACCGTGTGTTCGCTTGCGCCCTCCGGTCCTTGTGCATGGGTGAAGCCTAGGGGCCTGTCGTGCCACGTATCGCATGTGTTTCTTTCACGTAATGTGTAGATAGATAGGTAGGTGTTTACCCAGGTTTCAAAAGAGTCATTGACAACTGACAAATTCGAAAGGGCGCACCCCTATTTGGGGTCCCCTACGTTTTTCGCTATACCATCTGACTCGGTTATAACCACCAGACTAGGTTATAACCAGCCGACTAGGTTATAATCAGGTGTACGTCATCGACGACAGTATTATATCCGCTTTGAAGACCATGTTTTCAGAATGCTGAAACCCGCACAACGCTAAGAGTTCTATGACACCTTCGTCGAAACCCTGTTACAATGTGCTAAAATCCTTGCTTTGAAGCCGTCGATATATCTTCGTAGTTCATGATTTTGTGACCTTATCTAAACCGCTGTATTTCAGTTTTGTCCAACAAGCGCGCTGTAGTCATTAGTCTGCTTCAGTCATTCCTTATCGCGAACTAGATTTTGCAACGAAAAGTTTTCCATCTTTGTACTGTAATGCCGCAATCCCACCAAAGTCTCTGTTGTTGGACGCATTGCTATGACGTTTTGGCAAACTGATAGCTTTCAATGGCATATCCCTGTGCCCCCATGTGATTGCTTTTAAACACTGGTATATCCGGTAGGTATATTTGAGTGGTGCATTCCTTAATTCTGTATGACGGCTGCCCCAAGCCAAAATTGAAAACTTGCATACTACAAGCTTAGCAAACGTTGTATAGTGTTTTTCCTGGGGGACGACATGAAGCGTCGCTTCTTAGGCTTGGCACTGTTTCTATATGCTGAGTGATGAAGCCTGTGCTTCTTGTATCAGCATACCTTAACCATCACGTAAAGCCGACTGAAAACCATAAGGTTACATCTAGCTGCTAGCTTGTCCGAATTTCTGTTTGTGTTCTTGTGAATATTACTGAAAGTCGAATAGAAGCCATTGTTCCCAGTCCAGAACGTGATCCTCGTGTTAGAAAAAATGGTACACACACACACACACCGAATCACTCCTCGAAAGAGGTTCATCCATGTAGTTGGAAATAGCATTGCGAGGAATTTTCTACGTACCGAGCGAGGAAACCTAACAGTTTAAGTCGCAAATTTTGTTTCGCTCACCACACATATTCTTATCAGTTTTGTCTCGTCGAAATCCGGCTTGATTGGAACGATGTTTGAACATAACGTTGCAACCAGTTCGCCTATGTACGAAGTGATGAAACCTGACCACGCTGTAAAAACTGAAATACTTTCTCTCCCTACAATGACGTCGTATCAGCCGTATCTCAACTTTCTGTGTACCGTGATATTCCAAGGTTGACAACACTTACTGACCTACTGTAATCCCGATAGAGCCCCTTCATATTCCGCATTTTGATTCCTGCGTGAGTGACATGTTAGCGGCTATTCTCTCAATGTGTACGTAGATCTCATAAACCCGATGTACTGGAACGGACAGACCATTGTGTAAAGTCCGCCATATAGCCTTTCCGCTAAAGTTGGGGAATGCACATATGGTCCCCGGAATTATGTTTGTTACAAAGCACTGCATCATGCCTCAACAACCGAATACACGCCAATTACCTCGGACCCTATATTCTTCTAGTCCTTGTTTAATTTCATTGCGGTTTTATTCACCCTGAAACACCGAAACTTTCGAACGTTTGGATTTAGGTGTGGATGAAGTACTGTAGCGGTGGCACAGGCCTGGTTATAACCTCTGTCCCCGGTTATAACCAGGACACCTGCGTAGCAGGCAGCCCTAGACCCATCACTAAACCATTAAACCATTAACAAATTGTTAAATTAGTACACCGTTAAACAAATCCTTTGCCCCAATGGACCCAAACCAATAAACCATTAACCAATAAACCATTAAACCATGAAGCCAATCCTTTTGCCCCATACCGCTAAACCATTAAACCATTAAACCAATCCCTTTACCCCATACCACTAAGCCATTAAACCATTAAACCAATCCTTTCCCCCAATGCACCTAAACCACTAAACCATTAGCTACTTGCAACAAAGCTTGCCGACTTGCAAGTCTTATGTCAGGAGACGTCTGCCAAAATGGCTCTGCCATTTTGGCCCAAGTTCGTGGACCGTGGGTCCTTCAAAGATTTGTTACTTTCGCGGGGATTCGAATGTTCGTGGTTTGTTTATTCCGGAAGCATCGCAACGGCAAGTCGTACCGCAGCCGTTCGACTTAAGCTGCCCGTCCGTGCCACCTCTGCCGGTACGGTTCAGCTAGTGAAAGTTTAGGCTGTCACGGCTTGATGCCGAGGAGGTCCTCTTCTGACTCCGTGTCCCGGCCTCGTGCCCGGACCACCCGCCGTCGCCGACGTGGACGTCGTCGTCAGGCCTGTTTCCGGTATTGCCTTAGTAGTCCTGTTGGTTGTCACCGCGTGGCAGCCCTCCCCGACTTCTTCGAGCAGCCCCCGGTCTCCTTCCTCCGCTTCGAGGTTGTTTGACTCCAGCACGTTGGGCACTTTTATCTGCCGCTGTGCTTCAGGCGTTCACCCTCCGTTCCGGTGCCCTTGTCGGGCGCTCGGTCCTTCCGGTGAGCTCCTTTTTCATGTTTCTTTTTCTGAGGCCGCAGTCCGGTACGTCCACCCTCGGTGCGACTACCCCTGCTGCTACCGCCGCGGAGGCCCGGACTGCCCGCTATGTCCGTTCGCCTCTGATTTGCTTGACCATGCTTGAGCTCCGGTTGCGCGCATGCAGCAGCATTCCCGCTCTCAAGCATTTTGCCTCCCGCTCCCTCCCGTTCTTTGCTTTTAGCATGAACCGCTTCGGAGGATCTCATCCGCTTCGCGATCTGGCCCGTGGCTTGCGGTATGCCCAGGCTGGCTTGGGATCCGGCCCAACTACGCCGTCCCTTGGACCTGGCCCGGCTGTTGCGGTCATTGATCCGCCGGCCCAGAATCAGGCCGACCCGGCCGCCAATGCTGGCGATGGTCAGCCGGCCGCCGTCCCTGATCCGGCCCCGGCTGTTGCTGCCTCCAATATGGCCACCCCAGCCCCGGTTAGCACGGCCACACCGGCCCCGGTGCCTGCCGCTGCCCCTGCGGATCCCCCCGGCGGTTACTTGGCCACCTCGAAGGCTGCCTCCGGAACCCGCTCTGGTGCTGGTGTTCCTGCTGGTGATGGCACTGCTCCGGCCGCTCCCATCCAGCCGGCCCCTCCGATGATCCAGACCAAAGCGGTGCCCAAGCACCCGCCCACAACCGGTGGCCTGCCTTCCAATCCCCCGGCTGCTGCTGCGATCCCGCCGGCCTCGGCAGACACCCGCCCGGCGGATTCGGGTCAGCAAGCTTCCGGCTCCGGTCAGCCAGCGTCCGGCTCTGAGCCGCGTCCGGCCGAGTGGATGGCTCCGCCGTATGACCCGGATCGAGAGCGCGCCTTGCGCCAAGTCATGCTGGAGTTCCTTCCCGAAGCAGATGATGACTTGGTCTACTCCGGGCTGGCCGATCTCCAGCTGAGCCAGGCATCCCGGTTGCTGGTGCTTCTCTCCGAGGTGTGCCAGGACAACTTTTATGCCCTGGCCAACCTGGGGCAGTACGACGTCGAGGCGCCGATCTCCGTATTGGCCGCTCAGTCTACCCGGCCCGGCTCCGTTCCGGGGCAGTACCGTCCGGTTGGCGCACGCTCCATGCCGGAGGGCCCCCGCTTACCGGACCGTGAAGGTGCAGAGGCCATCCGGGAGAACCTGGCCCGCCCCCAGCCCAGCTTCCCGCCAATCCGCATTGCCCGGACCGACACTCGCGATATTGCTCTGGATGTGCCTCTGGTGCACTGTGACCGGAACCGGCCCTCGGTGACGCCCCAGTTCGATCCGGATGCTCCGCTGACCCCGAGGCGCATCAACACCGGTCCGTGGAACAAGTCAGAAGGCTGGATGCGCCTGTCCATCTGCCTTCCGGACTCTCCCGGCCCGTTTGTCCGCGACCCGGATACATGGCCTTATCCGGACCTCTTTTGCTTTGAGCTGGAGGATTTACCACCATGGGTGCCGATCCAGCAGCCCCCGTCCGGCTTGACGCACCTCCGGATCCGTGGCTATTGTAGCCATGATTGCCCGGCGCGAGGACCACGCTGTATGCGCTGTTGCCTCCGGCCGATTTTGTATTACAGTCGGACGGCTCACTCCGGTCACAAATGCCATAACTGTATGGAGGATGGCCTCTGATCCGCCCCGGTGGTGTCAGCATTCATGGTCTTTTCTTCCCCGGGCTCTGAAGCATAAATCATTATTCCGACCCGGCCTTAATTTTACTACCTCCCGCGCTCCGGTGGCCATCCTCTCTGCATCTCACCGGTCATCCGAATCCGACCGGTGGGTTCTGGATCTGGCTGCCCCTGCGGAACCGCAAAAGCTCTCTGCTCGCTTACATGTTGCACTGTTCCTGCTCGAGCTGTTTACGTTTTCATGCTGCCCTGATTCAGGTTCCGCTCCCCTCCGAGGCCTGTGCTGTCATTCTTCTGTGTTGCCTTTCACCCCGCCCTTGTCAGGCAACACCGAAATCCTCGTGGCCGCGGCCTGGCGTGCTTTCACAGGTTGCTCCTCTGAGTCTGCTCCTGTCAGGCGCGTCATCCTTTGCACCTGTGTTGCCCGCGGCACCGTGCTGTGAGCCCCCGGCTCCTCGCCCGTGTCCCTGGCAATCCTTGCATCTGCCTTCGGATGAGGCCCAGCCGGGCACCCCTGTTGCGGCCCGCGCTCCGCTGGGCCCCCTAGGTTCCCCAGGTTCGGACCTTTTCGCATCGGATGGGACTGAGGCCGGGTTCCAGCTGGTCGCGGGTGTTTCATCAAAATCTCCTGCATCTGCCTCTGGTGTGCCTGACCTGGCCCTTCCCGGCCTGGTCGTCCCGCCCTTGGCTTGCCCTCCTGACAGCCTGCGTCTGCCTGGCTGGTGCCTGCGCCCTAGGCCGGTGCCCAAGCCCTGCTCGCCTCCTTCGGCCTCGCCTGGACTTCTTCTCTGCCCTCGGGTTCCTGCCCGTCGCGCTCCTGTGTTCCCTCGTGGGCCGTCCGTCTTCTCTCCACCCGTACCACGGGCGTCGTGTGTCTGTTGGGTCTAGCTCCAAATCGCCGTTGTTGCCCGACGCTGGCGGTGACACCCCGGCCCCATCTGGCAACTACATCCTCGGGTCTCTTCCCCTTGCCTCGGCCTCGGACTCTGGGTCCTCCATGGCCGCCGCTGCTGAGGCCGCCCTCGTGACTTTGAGGGCCGCTTTTTGCGATGCCGTGCAGGACCTCGGTGATGATTGCACACTTTGGCTTCACACGAAACTGGTGCCGTCCCCCCGTGAGCTCCAAACCCGGGCGGTCGCGAAGTTTGCCCCATCTACCCTCACTGTTTATCTGCGTCTCTGGAGTGCCTGGGTCCTGCACTGTCGCCGCTTCGGTTTCAGTTGTTCCGACCCGGCTTCCGGGACCGTTCCTGATTGGCTTCACCGGAACGCCGCCCCCTCCGGACTTGCGACTTCGGCCTTTAAGTCACTTAGCTGGATGTCGCGCATTGCTGGCTTGCCTTCACTTGCGGCGCAATTGCAAACTCCGTTGTGCACTGCGTTCCTCACCGCTACCATCCCCATTGAACGACGAGAATCCCTGCCGTTCTCCGTCTCTTTTGTTGCTTGGCTGGAACGTCGAGTTATGTGTCCGGACACTCCGGCCCGGGATGCCCTGGTGATGGGATCCGTGCTCTGCTTGATCTGGTCCAGTTTGCGCTGGAACGACGGGCTCTGGTCTCCGCCCGGCCGTTTGGTGCTTCAGTACGACTCTTCCGCCGTGACCGGCCTGGCCACTCGCACGAAAAGTTGCCGTGCCTCCATGCCTTGGGGCTGTCAACTGTTCGGCCTCACTGGGGGCCCCTCTGCCTGCTGGGGCCTGTCGTGGCTCAATGGACACCCGACTCCGTTTCCCCGGCCGGTCCGTGGATTTTCTATTGCCCTTGCTTGCTCCGGATACCGAATCCTTGGTCATGGTTTCTCCTTTGCACCGGTCGCGGGCCATGCCCTGGCTCCGGGCATTGTTGGACGAACATTGGCGAGAACACAGTTCCGGGCCGCCCCCTCCGGAACATGCCCGCTTTGGGGTGCACTCGTGCAAAGCCACCGTCCTCAGCTGGGCCCGGCAGTCTCACTTGAGTCCGGAGCTTCGCCGCCTTCAGGGCCATCACCGGCCGTCCGCTATGGAGGGATCCGTCCGCGTCTATAGCAGGGACGACGTTGGCCCCATGTTATTGCTCCAATCCGAAGTTATCAACCGCATCCGGTCGGGATTCCGCCCTTTGCAGCCTGTTGCTCGTGGTGCGTCCCGCCCGCTTCCTGACTTCCGGGTCTCCTTGCCCCCTCCGGACCGCCATATGGCAGGCGAGGCCCCTAAAGATGTTCCCCCTCGTTCTCGCTCTCCGGTTCCTCATGCCAAGTCCAGTGCCGCGGCTCCGGTGGATGATGTTCCGGAACTCTCGGCTGACAGTTCCGACTCTGATGTGTCAACCGCGTCCGCCAGTGACGTTGACACCTCAGTGCCTGCAAAACCGAAGCTGGCCGTCCGGCCCAAGCGCCCGGCGGCCCACACATCGGATGACCTTCGGGCCTTCCTGGTAAATCCGCGCAGCAACATTGTTCACAAAGCGGTTTCCTGCTCGTCCGGTACCCCGCATGCTGTGAATATTGCACTTGATGGACTTCAGCCCTTTTTTGCGCGCCCGGCATGTGGTGCCTCTACTGCCCACATGACTTCCGACTGTTGGCTTACGACCCCTCCTGTGGGTGCTCAGCCGTGCCTCCGCCGGGCATGCCGGGATGACTAGACGCTCGCGCTGTGAATGAAAACTGGTTGCCGTCCCGTATGCCGCGCATCATTTCTGAGAGTGCATTGTCTCGTGGTTCCGGCTTGTTTACATCCGCAGCCATTTTGCCTTCAGGTAGAGGTTCTTCTAGTCCGGGTTCCGGCCACCAACCACATGGCTGCCGACTACCCCGCCACGAGTTACACGGCCTCTTCCCAGCAAGCGCCTGCTCCGGACGTTTGGCACACTTTCAGGGCGGCCCGTGGCCATGACGGCGCAGTCCTGCTGCCTTCCGTCCCGGAACTGGTGGACCTGGAAGAGCTTAGCGATGAGGACCTGCTGGCTATGCTCCGCCGGTGCTCGGCTGGCTTCTTGGCACGCCTGGCCCGCCTCATCGGCAGGATCCTCCGCCCGGTGCCGCAAGTGGTGACCTGCCATCTCCCTTGCGTGAATCCGGAATGCAACCAGGTGTGTGGCCGGGTCATCGACGTCACTCGCCGCCGCCAGCATCGGAACCATGCCTGTCGGGTTTGCCACAGTTTCGGATGGTGAACCCGTTTTCCTAGCCAACGCGACTGGCCCGGCCGGTGAATTTTGTCTGCCACCTGCCGCAATGATCTGGCATCCGGCACTGAGCAGGGCGCAAAACTTTGTGTGGTTACGCCTTGTTTCCGCCGGTTCTGCAAGTTGCTTTCATGTAGCGTCTTGCTCCGCAGCTGGCTCATAAGCATCAGGTAGGCTGTGCTGTAGGCTGTCACTGGACTTTGGATTTCCCCGGCCTTGATCCCCATGACCTCTGCCCCCCCTTCCTTTGACGACCCCGCTGCGCTCGTCGCTCTGCTTAAGCAGTGGCACGCTCCTGATGCGCTGCTGGACGCGCTGACGCTTAAAGGTTTCAAGTCCCTGGCCAGCATTGCGTATGCCATCCCAAAGGATGGGTCCCCGGATGACTTTGTCCGGAAACTCTGGCCGCCGGCGGATGGATCTTCCGAAGCCATTGTCTCTCCTGCTGCTGCTTTTGCACGTCGCCTGGTCGTGCAAACCCAAGCGGTTGCCCACCCTCCTGCATCCCCGGCACCCATCCCTGGCCCCAGCCTTCCTTCGGCTCCTGCGGCCAAAATCTCTGCCGCCGCAGCTGAGACCATGCGAGAAAAGTTCATCACCGATTACCCGGGGGAACTCCTGTCCCCGGCTAACACTCCCAGCATCGAATTTCTGAACCGTCTCCGGTCCGAACTTGATGCCCCAACGTCGCTCTGGATTCCGTGGCGCTTGAGGACATCTGAGTCGGATCTGCAGCATTTCTACGAATCCCGCCGGCCCCGTTCGGATGCACAGCTGTTGCGGGGCTTGCTTGAGGGTGTTCCGGACCCTGTGGTGGCCCAATCCTCCGCTCCCACCTCCGGCCCGGTCGAACCTACGTTGCGCCGCCATCTGGGCCTCTTGATTACAGCTCTTGCCTTCCTGGGTGACCTTCACCTCCGTGCCGGGAAAATGCTTCTTGAAGCATTTGTGGCCGCTGTCGTGGAGCAGCCCATCGACACTACCCTCCGTCCTCCTTCTATGCAGGAGGTTATTGCTGCCGAACGCACCGTGTGGTCTAACGTTGCCACCCTGATGCGCGATGAGAAGTGGAGCCTCCCGGACTCGGTCACCGAGATTACTGTTACGCGGCATATGCTCCCGAACATTCTTGTGGCCCGGCCGCGCAGCATTCCGGCGCCTCCGGTTAGGGAACCTGGACTCCGGAACCTTGACCGCACCCGTCCTGAGGATACTCCGGAGCGCCCGCCCAAGAAACCCCGTCCCAACCCTAAGGGTAAGGCTAAAGCCGAAGCGAAGGCCACCGGGAAGAAGCCCATTTCCGAGCTATGGGACGATTCATGGCACTCCGTCGATGAGTCCGGAAAAGAGATATGCCGCCGGTTTGTTGTTGGTCGGTGCAAGTTGTCCAACTGCCGCTTCAGCCACACGTGCCCCATTCCGCTTCCGTCCGGAAAGCCCTGTGGGCAAAAGCATACGGCCAACAAGCACTCCAAAACCCCGCATTGACTACCTACTGGCCCCGTGTCCGGCGCTCTGAATGCGACCGTTCCTGTGTGCATTCCATCGTCTTCTGATGAATCCGAGTGCATTCCCTCGCCCACGCCGTGCGGCCCGAGCCCCCCGACATCATCTGTTACGCGGCCTGCTGCTCCGCTGGTGGTTGGATCTTTGGCTCCTCCGGACCCTCGAGCACGGTCCCGTTCTCCGCGCCGGACACGCCTTGGATTTTCCTTTTCTTATGTACCACCTCGCGTCCCGCTGGGACGCCGCATTGGATGCCCCGCTCCACCGACACAGCACACATCATCTTGCCCGCCTCCTGCCCCGGAGACTGTGACACAAACCTTGCCGGAACCTGTGTCTCACCCTGCACCTTGCAAGCACCGTCTCTTTCTTGACTTGTTTTCCGGCTCCTCGGCGCCGCTCTCCCGTGCAGTCGCTGCCCTTGGTCTGGACCGCATTTCCCCCATCGATTGTCTCCACGGTGAGCATGTTGACTTGCTTGACCCCGACACTCAAACCTCCTTGCGCCGGCTCTGCTCCAGTGGTTTGATTGCTGTGGCTACTGCGGCTCCTCCTTGTTCTAGCTTCAGCCGTTCCCGCCTCCGTCCAGGTGGCCCGCCGGCGGTGCGCACACCCGCACACCCTTCTGGTATTCCTCGGCCTTCCCCGCGCCAACAATCCGAATTGGATTCCTCAGACCGGTTGCATACATTCACCCGGGAGTTGCTCACGCTCGTCATGTTGGCTGGAGGTATTGCCATCTTAGAAAACCCGGCCTCCAGCTTACTCTGGCTTGTCCCGGGCTGCCGATCCTGGATCCGCCACCACTGCATGCATTCGGTTGAAGTTGCCGCTTGCAGCCACGCCTTGGACTACCGCAAAAGCTGGCTTTTTGTGTCCAACTTTTCGGATCTGAGCTCTCTCGCGTCTGTGTGCCAACATCCTCCCGGCTCTCATGCGATGACGTCCGGACGCCGGACTGCCTCCGGTGCTTTCCTCACACGGGATACCGCCTGTTATCCCTCGTCACTGTGCTCTGCGCTTGCTGACCTTTTCAAGCCGTTGCTCTCGTCACACACCGGCGAGATCCCTTTTCGTTCCTGGCATTCGCTTCTTCCTGCTACACTTTTCTGGCCCATTCCGGCGAATCGTGTGGAAGATGGTGCCGGCACTTGTTCATCTGCCTCTTGGTCTGTTCCCAGAGGTGCTGATTGCTTCGGCTCCCTCCGGAAAGCCTGGTGTGCCCGCATTCTTTCAGGGGACTTCCTGTCCAAGTTCCAGGCCAAGTTGTCCTCCGGATCCAAGGCCCCTCCGCTGTCGGACCCAGAATTGGCCCCGTTCCTCGAGGACCTTCGATCCTTCCTTCGGCTGTCCGCCCCGGACTTTAACACGCTTTTGTCCATCCCGCCGGGACAACCTTTCCGCCTCTTTCTATTGGAAGCGCTGTTGTCTGTTTTCAAAGATCCGGACACCTCCTTTGTGGACTTGCTCACTGAGGGCGTCCCCCTGGGCGTTGATTCCGAGATGCCTTCCTGTCCGACCCTATTTCCCCCGGCCGGACAGTCCGCTCCCACTATGGACTTGACACATTGCTCCTCTTCTTGGGGCTCCGCTTTGTCGGATCAAGCATCCGTGGATAGCCTTCTCTCCGAAGAGATTTCAGAAGGGTGGGTGCGTGAAGTTCCCGGTGGACTGGACGAGCTTACAGCCCGTTACCAGCAGACTGCTGTTGGGAAGCTGGGCTTGGTCAAATCCCCCGGCCGGCCGGATCGACTGGTCGTCGATAGCAGTGTTTCCGGTGTGACCGAACACACCTCACTTCCCAACAAGTCCGCAAATCCGTCCATCTCCGGTCTTCGCCAGTGCCTTCCGCCGGAGCACGCCATAGAATGGCTCATCGCGTTAATTTTGGACGTCAGCAAAGCCCACCGCCGGATCAAAATCCGTGACTCCGACCGTGGCCTTTTGTGTTTCTTTCACCGGAACCGGCTGTACCAATGCTTAACGCTTAACTTTGGCGCACGCCCCTCCGGCTTCTACTGGTCCCGGATGGCCGGCTTGCTGACCCGTCTACTTCACCGCCTGGTCTTTGTCAAGCATTGCCTGCTGATATATGTTGACGATTTGATTGCTCTGCTTTCCGGCCCGTCCGGCCCGGTGTGGGCAGCACTGATGTGCATCATGTTGCTCATTCTCCGCGTTCCGATGAGCTGGCATAAGGCCTACTTGGGCCCCCGGCCGACGTGGATTGGCTGGTCTATCTGCCTCCACTCCCTTTCTGCCACCATGGAAGCTCCTAAGCTTGACCGGCTGCGGGACCTCCTGGCCAAAATCCGGGGGTCAGATTCTGTCCCGCTCCATCTTCTCCGCAAGCTCACCGGCAAGCTCCTGTGGGTCTGCTCCCTGTTTCGGCCTTTCCGTCCCAGTTTGGCTCCCCTGTATTCCGACCAGGGCAAGCCTCCTGTCGTACATGTTGCTCTGAGTCCGGCGAAATGGGCTTCGTTCCGCTCCAAGCTTGACTCACACCTTGTTCTGCAGTCTGACGTGGGTCTCGCATCCTGTCCGAAGTTATGCACACTGATTTCGGTATCGGGTCGTGAGGTATCCTCACTTTCCCAGGTCCCGGTGTCCTTTCCTGGCGAACGCCGCACCTGGATTTCCGTGCGTATGCCACCTGAATCCGACCGGAAGCTTTCCAAGGAATCCTTGGCGGTGCTGGACATGTGGCACGCTTGCCTCGCCGATGCTGCCCCTACGTTCCCGCTGCCCCTGGCTCGTGAATTCCCCTGCCAGGCTTTCGCGGACGCCTGCGCCGATGCACAGCATGCCGGCATCGGTGGTTTCGTCACGCTTCCTTCCGGCAAGACTGCCTGGTTTCAACACCGGTTTTCCGCTTCGGAGCTCGCTGCCTTATTCCCCTGGTTCCCGGTTGGCACTTCTCCGCAAGCCTGCATTGCTGCTTGGGAACTTCTCGGACAGATCGCTCTCCTTTGGGTGATTGGTCTCTTGATTCCGGTTTCCCTTCACCCCATCCACGTTGTCACCCGCTGTGACAATTCCCCTTCCGACTCTGCTTCGTGGAAAGGACTCTCCACTGCCCGGGGAATTTGTTCCCTCCTTCCGGCCTATTTTGCCTGGCAGCGCGCATTCTGCATATCTACTTATATTGACCATGTTCCGGGTTTCCAGAACACTGTTGCCGATGGTCTTAGCCGAGGTGCTGACCCGGCCACCTTTGGACTCCGACCTTGTGACCGGGTGGATATTCCGTGGGCTCTCATCTCTCGGCCTCCTCGGCCTTCATACCATCCGCCGAGTGCCCTGAACCTGTCCCTTTTTCCGGCTATGGACTTCTAAATGTGGCTGGGTTTCCCCCGGTTCGGGTAGTCCCCACCTCAAGGGACTAACTAGTTTGGCCGTTAACCCAGCCGCCTTGTTCTCCGGTCCCGGGACTATCCTCTGGATCTGCCCGGGCACCGAATATACATTCCGTAGCTCGTCCGGTTGCCCGGTTCCGGAAGATCCGCGAGCCGGGCCACAGACCGAGCTGCTTGAGCCAACCGGGAAAAAGGTGATGCATCCGTGAAGTCCGCGCTTCATGTTATTCCGTACCGCAGAGACGTAACGGACTAGTGCTTCCGGATAAACGGGGATTCGAATGTTCGTGGTTTGTTTATTCCGGAAGCATCGCAACGGCAAGTCGTACCGCAGCCGTTCGACTTAAGCTTCATGTTATTCCGTACCGCAGAGACGTAACGGACTAGTGCTTCCGGATAAACTCCCGCGTTTCCTCTTGCGACCGTCGATCATGGCATTCACCCCCGTCGCTAATGTCGATGAGATTCTGGCCTCTAGCATGGAGACGGTTGAGAGTTTGGTTCCCCCTCGTGACACTGGGGACAGTGATCCGGAATGGGAGAAGCCGGATGACGATGTGGCTGTGGCCCGTGCGACCCTTGCACACAATCTTCACGCCCATGACGATGAGAAGGTTAACTCCACTTTGACCTCTTTCACAGCTCTGGAGGTGGACGATACCAGCATGGACCTGCGGCTCCAGGAAATGGAAGCGGCCATGGCACGTCTGCTGGCCAAGGGCAGTGAGATGGTGGTTGTCACGGAGGACAGCCAACAGCCGACCGATATGGTTGTCCAAGCGACCCACCCTGAGGACCGCCCTGTTGCGAATATGGACACGGAGCCTGCCGCCTCCCTCAAGGAAACCGTTGCCGACATGGACACCTCGGGCCCTGAGGTGTCAACTCCAGGTGACTTTGTCCCTGAGGGGGGTGCCTCAGACGGTCCCAGGGGAAGTGGCGATTCGTTTAAGACAAGACCATCCTCGGCCCTGCCCGCCGGCACCTTGGAGGAGAAGGTCTTCCGCATCGAGGGCTTCCCGGAGGACTTCCCGGGCATTGGCAAAAAGAGTGCAGATCTGGCACAGCAGCTGACCCAGGAGGAGATCGCCTCATTGTTCTCCAAGCTCCGGACGGAGAACTGGACACGCCCTGCAGTCGAAAGGGTATTGGAGGTAGACCAGATCTACAAGAGACAGCTGGCCCAGGAAAAGATGCTGCCCCTTACAATCGTGCTCGCAGGGGGGTGGGACACAGCAGCATGGGCCAGCTGGACCCTGGCAGCACAGGAGCTTCCCTCGTGTGCCCCAACTGCTTTGCAGATTGGCAGCGACTGGACAACAAGGTCGAGGGGAAATGCAAGCTCTGCCAGAAATCCGTCATCGCTGTGGACAAGGGCCCGCCCTCTGCAGAGATCAAGCTGGGCTCGACCTCCTGGCGAATGTTTTGTGGGCCCCAGGGTGTGCTGGTATTGGTTCGTGGGCCCAGCCCCCGCCCAGACCCACGGATCAGAAGGAGCTCAGCTTTGCCGACCAGGTGCCTATGGCCGTGCAGTTTTCTCACAAGGAGGCTGGTGATCGCCTCCAATTTCGGGACGACTGGCAGCCGAGCCAGGAGATCAGGGCCTTCCACCCCCTGCGGCGGCGTTGGAGATCACGAAGAAGAGCTCGGGCCCGGTGGATAAGGACAGCAGGAAGCTCACGGAGGAGCAGTTTCTGGATCACATCAACCCCCAGCTGGACGTGATCGTTGAGATGCAGGCAGGCGCGCAGAGCGTCGAGGAGGCAAAGGGCGCGTCAATCCTCCGCCAGTTGGACACAGAGAAGTTGCGCTCCCTTCTCAAGCGCAACTATCTCCAAGGCCCGGGAAACCAGGGAGAGGAGTTCATTACAGCGCAAACCACCTTGGAGGAGGCCAAGGCCTCCAACAAGCGCATGCAGGAGGAGGGAGCCCAGCGCTCCATGCTCCTCAGGCCTGTGGCCGACTCCATTGACACCTGGGGTACTCAGCTGCGCGCGGCCCTGGAGATGAACGTGTTCAATCCGGATAGCCCGCTCAAGGACATGGAGCTTGACGACATCGAGGCCATGAAAGACCGGTACATGAACACGAAGTTCCTGCTGAACCAGAGCAGGAACCCTTTCCCGGCCTCCTTGCCGCAAGAGCTCCCCAGCCTGGCCGCGCTCCAGCGTGAGGGTGAGCGGGTCGCCCGGGACTCAGGCGGGGGGCTGTCTTCAACAGGTGCCTTTGGCCCTGAGGAGCAGTCCCCTGAACGCATCATTGAGCTGCACATGGGGGAGCAGCGAATGATCGGGGGCCGATGGAAGAAGGTGCAAGGACCACTCGCTGCCCCGACGTGGGCAAAGCCTCTCCCTGAAGGGGAAAAGCTCATGTTGGAGATGAGGACACATCCCTGCTCCTTCAAGCAGCCATTCTTCGAGCCGATTGCCCTCACCAAAGAGGAGATTGACGCACAGGTGGCAATGGGCACGAGGCCCCCCCTGGACAAGATCATCGGACCCTTCCATGCCGAGGGGGATGGTGGCACCCACTGGCAAAAGGAAGTGCAGACGTGGGACCTGGTGAGCCTCTTCTCCTGCTTCGGCCACACCTACTCGGCCAGACACCTGTATGCGGTGTGGAGCCACTTGCCGATCACAATCCAGTCCCACAAGCGGGGGGCCAAGAACAAACAGCAGAACCTGCAACGTCGAGACGACCATCGTCTGCTGATGAAGGAGGCCAAAGAGTTTGTGATCCTGCACGACCTTCCGGTTCCTACGACAAACCAGGAGTGGAAGCAGCTCTATCGCGAAATGGGGTCCTTTTTCGCCGCCAAGGTCTTCATAAACCGCACACCGCAGGTGGTTTTGGACCTCCCCGTGGCAGCGACTCCAAGCAGCACATGCGACTGCGAGCCGTATGTGATAAACGGATCACCCTGCCCCTGAAGGCCTTCAGGGATTTCCCGGAGATTTACAACTCACTCTCCCACTCTCTGGGCCAGGAGTCGATGGTGGAGGTAAAGATGGCGTGGCGCTGCAACACAGTGCAGTGGTGGACAGAAGCCCGAGTACGCCGGCCCCATCTACCGCAAGCTTGGCTACTCGGAGAGTTGGATTGGGGGACAGGGACACCTCAGCTGCCTTTGGCGCTGAAAGGATCCTCCTGGACCCCGAGTCAGAGCAGGAGCGCGCCCTCCCGCCCATCACCCCGGACAACGTCTCGAGCGTGGCCTCGGATGCTACTAGACCCGATCCTCAGGGCATCGGGCCGCTCCTTTGAAGAGGAACAAGCGGACGTACAACGGTCCGGCGGGCAAGCAATTGTGGATACTCAGGACTTGGACCGCGTACTAGGCGTGCCGGAAGGGCCGCCCCGAGCGGTGGTTTTGTCATACCGCCCAACTCAGGTCTTCCAGCTGATTGTGGAGAGGGCCCTCTCTCTCTCTCCAGGCCGCGCGGGGGAGGAGGATGTTACATCGCTCCTCACCTCCCTCTGGGACCTCTGCACTAAGGCCGCTGCAGGTACTCCATCCCACCTCCTCTCGGAAGTGGTTCAACGGCCCTGGAACGAGGCCTGCGGGAGAAATGGGGGGAAAGGCTCCTTTCTTACCTCCTTCCGGTGGCTGGGCAGATCCCGCACATGGCTGCTATAATGCCCCCTGGCACCACCCTCATTTCTCTCGAGTTGAAGGGGGAGTTCATGGATCTCTTAGGCGATGCCAGGTTCCGCACCCTCAGGATGCGATGCCTCTCCTATGAAGAGCTCAGGCGTCTTGGATTCACGTCCATACCTTGGAAGGAACACGACGTTCGTGCTCTCCTCAACACTCTTCGGGATCAGGAAGTGTCCCCTCACAAACTTCAGCAGGTGTGGGACACCCTCAAGTGGTTTGGTAAAAAGTTCGGGCTCCTTGTTGTTGACGAGGCCTTTCGGCTCACTGAGAAGAAGAAGTCCCTCTCTGAGTCCCTCGTTAGCGCGGTCCACCGCCCGATGAGGAAAGCTCAGGTCCCTTCCAAGTCCTTCGTGGTTCAGGCGGAAGAGGTTGCAGCTCCAGCTCGGCCACAAGAATCGAGCTTATGGACGCCTTCATCTGTGGCATTGCAAGGTTCCAGCTCGGCTCCAGTGCCCGCTTCACCTTCAGCATACTAGCCCAGACACTCTCAAGGTGACCTCCGCTACCATCGAGTTTTCAGCATGGCAGACCAAGACCCACTCGGCGGTGACGATTCACAAGAAGCCGGTCCCCCTCATCTGCCCCAAGTACTCCTTCTCGGGCAAGGACTGGTGGACTCCTCTCATTTCCACTTGGCGCAAACTGGCCGCGACCCCCATGTTCGACACCATGGACTATCTCATCCCGACCGTTGGTAAGGACTACGATGGTTTCATTCCGAGGCCTGCCACCTCACAGCGCGCCCTGAATTGGCTGCGCTCGGCCATGTCGAGACAGGAGATCGACAAGGCCCTGTGGGAGGGACTCACCTGGCACTCCTTCCGGGTCTTCATGCCGGACTGTGCCTTCCAAGCCCACGTCCCTCGTGATCAAAGGCAGTACCTTGGCAACTGGATGGCTGAAAGTACTGCTGATGTCTACACACGGGAGAAGAGGAATGTGGTTTGCGCCATCTGGGAGAAGGTCACCTCCAATCTGGACCAGATCGACACGGACGGCGCCCGCACCTCGGCACAAAATTTTGGAACTCTCTTTTCTGTACAAGGAGGGGTCCCGATCCCAGGTGCCGTAGGCCCTGAAGGAGGGGACCCTCCTTTGCCTGAAACGGCCTCTTCAAAAGGCTGAGGTCTTCGACCGAAGGAATATCCCGGGAGTCGGCAGCCACACCAATCCACCATGCAAAAGAGGGCCTGCTCGCATGGTGCTTTTGGTGTGCCATTTTCATGCGGATATCTGACATTAGCTACTTGTAACAAAGCTTGCCGACTTGCAAGTCTTATGTCAGGAGACGTCTGCCAAAATGGCTCTGCCATTTTGACCCAAGTTCGTGGACCGTGGGTCCTTCAAAGATTTGTTACCCGCCCACCCTTCCCCATGGCTACTACGCCAGTCACTCTGGCCAAACCCCCTGAGGCTATCCCGGATGCTTATGCCGACCACATTGCAGAACTCCATTCGGCCGTGTCCACTTTGTTCGCGAGGAAACAGATCCCCTATTCGGTCCAGGCAGCATTTGCTAAGGAGGGATACATAACCTTGGAGGACATTGCCGACCGATGGGACGATGCTTCGGCTGCCAGAACCAATGGCCCCAGGGACCTAGGTTTTGCTAGCGGCTCCAATGGGTTCACGGATCAGAGTAGCGCGTTCACTGCCATGCGCCTCTTTCAGGCGATCAAGGCGGCTAAGGACATGACAAAGAACCTTTATGCACCTCGCTCCAGTGTCACGCCGGGCCAGGCCTCCGCGGACCGCTCCGGCCTGGAAGTGCTGTGTGACCGGCACCAGCTCCTCACGGAGTGGACTAAGGAAACTGGACTCCCGAAGCCGAAACTCGAAGCCCAAGGGAGCGATAACCTCCTCAAGGCGCAGTTTCGCTTCTGCTCGAAGGGGGAACTTGGCTTCATCAATGCGAAATACATAATCAGTGCCTTGCCGGAGCTCGAAGAGAAGCCATTCAAAACAAGACGGAAAGTGACTGTAGACGGTTGGGATAAGGAAGAGGAGGAAGAGGAACGAAAGCTCCCGACCACCAGGCGTCATCTGGAGAGGATGCATCGGGTTTTCCGCAACAATCTTTCGATGTGTCTCCTGGCCTTTCCCCAGTTCACACAGTTTGATGCCTCGAAGCATGACCTGGATGAATGGTACGACTGGTTCTGGGGCCCGGACATTGCGGGACGAACCCCAGCCCCATCGGAAAAGACTCTTCTCTACGCCGAACGAAATGCGTGGAGGGCCATCCACAACCTGGTCTATGAGGGCAAGTTGCTCAAGGAGGCCATGATGGAAGTCCGTGCGGATGCCCTCTTTTGGACCAGGGAAGTCTACGAGCGTGTGCCACGGCCTGGTGAGAAAGGTCCGAAGGGCACTCCAAAAGGGGAGAAAGGCGCCCCCTTTGCAAAGTGGCCGGGAAAAGGCTCCTGGAAAGTTGCCTGTGTACCAGCCTTTTCTCAAGCAATCTACTAAGGGCAAAGAAGGCAAGAAGGGCAGCCCCAAGGGCAAGGGCAAGGATACCTGGCCCCAGAATTGGTCCAGGAACAATCCGAAGGGCGCCCCTTTTGCAGAGATTATCACATCAAGAAGCAATGTCCCGGCAACTGTGGGCGCTCCCACAACTGCCCTGGCTGGGTGTGCAATGCCCCTCCGAATGAGCAAGGACTTCCAGTCCCAGGTGCCTTCGGCCCTGAACGAGGAGAAGTGTTGGAGGCGGTGACGCTTGTTGCCCCCTCCACATCAGGTGCCCATGGCCCTGATCGGGAACAAGCACGGGACAGATCGCGATCCCCCCGGAAAAAGCCTGTCTCCTCGCCAGGTGGGGACCCCATACATGGGGGTCTGCAGCCCTCCAGTAGTGCTGACTCGGATGACAAGCCCTTCTCTCTTGGGCTTTGGATTGAGAAGCATTACCCGGGCACTCTGCCTGCAGATTGCTCCCCTGAATGGCTAAAAGGAGTCCCTGACCCCCTGGTCCGGAGACTCCAATGGTCTCCTTCTGTGTGCACTGCCAGCATTCCTCAGGGTGCCATAATTTTGCCCTTCGCGGGTCGGAAGGATGCCTCCTCCCTGGAAGCGATCCTCCACTCCCAAGCTCCAGAACTCTCCCCGAGAGTTCTGGCCTTGGACTCCTCTAGAAAACCCTCCAGTCAGGATCTCCTTAATGACACACTGTTCGGGTCGCTCTGTGTCTCGGCGCTGCAAGGACGCATCTCCTTTGTGGGAGGATGCCCGGATCTCAAAACATGGGGTTTAGATAGGTGGTTTCAGGACTCTGGTACTTTCCATGCGGTTCGAGCCCGATCCGCAGAGAATGCCTGGGGCTTATCCGCTCTCCCTGCGGAGACTTTGCACTTGGCAGATGAGGAAAGCACCCTGCTCCTTAGGTTCCTTCTGCTTGCTTGGCTCGCCTTCAAGGCGACCTCGCCCAGTGCCGCCCCTAAGGTCTTTTGCTTCCTGGAGATGGCTGAAGATCCGGCTCGAGGAGCTATTTCCCCATCCAAGAGACGCTCCTCTTCGGCTTGGGCCACTCCGGCCCTGCGCGCTTGGACCCTTGACCTAGGCCTTGAGGTTCTTCATTTTGATCTCTGTTCTTTTGGTTGGGTTGTTAGTCGTGCCTCTAGAGCGGTCACAAACCTTCCCCTCCAATCCTGGGAGGGAAGGACCTGTACACATGCTCATCACCCCAAATCTGATCGTCCGGGGGACGTTAGGCGACCAGAAGCCATGTTACAGAGTCTTGCCTCGGCGCTGGCCGGAATGCTTCGCAACGCGGTCCCCCCGATGGTGGATTCGCCAGGTGGGCCTGCCACCAATATCCTTGCAGTTCCCTCGCTGGGACAGGAGCGTCCTCACTGGGCGGCTCAAGGGTCAGCACCCGGTGCTGGGTCTCCGAGTGCTGGTACCCATGCAGGCGATCATCTGCATGCTGCGACCCCTTTGATTGGGTCTGATCGGCCTTCGACGCTACCGCTCTACGAGAAGCTTACCTTAGACGATGCCACAATTGCCACAATGAGAGTGGCCCATGGTTTTAAGGTTAGGCCCCTGAGGGACGGAGGCGGTAAGACCTCCCCCGGTAGGATTCCCCTGCACCTACGTAATGGCCCGACGGCTCCTGCTCTGGGTAAGTTTATCCGAGAAAAGGCCGGGCCCCTGGTCCCCTCTTTCATAGCCTCCACGGCTGCGGGTGCCAAGACACACCCTTTCCCGGATTCGGTTCTCAGGGATATTCGGGATTTTATCTTGCCTCAGCATCCCCAGCCGGATGCAGGA